AAAACAACTTTAAAGGGCTATTGAAAAGTTTTCCTAAGTCTAAAGCAAAGGTGTTAATTAAAAGTTTTAACAAATTCCATCCTCATTCAACTACTCTAATCCCTCCTCCTCCTCCTCCTCCTCCTCCTCCTCTCTATACTGTAATCCCTCCTCCTCCTCCTATCTACACTTTAATCCCTTCTCCTCCTCCTCCTCCTTCTTATTCAACTACTTTAATCCCTCCTCCTCTTCCTCTCTATACTTTAATCCCTCCTCCTCCTTCTCTCTATACTTTAAACCCTCCTCCTCCTTCTCTCTATACTTTAATCCCTCCTCCTCCTATCTATACTTATATCTCTTCTCCTCCTCCTCCTCCTCCTCCTACGCTTTCTACTCTATAGGTTAATGCAGATAAAACCAAGATAAATGTCTGAAGGTTGAAATCCTTCTACAATTTACAATGCAGTACACTGAAATCAAGTGTACTGCAACAACAGCTACTTTATAGCAAACTAGTTTGGGAACCCATCTTTGCCTGGAAACGAAACTTTTTCTAAAATATTCATCCCACTCAATTTAGACATTTTAAACCAAGCTAAGACATTCCTCTGGTTCTGACGAGTTCATCAGTCAAAATTCAGGTGAGTTAATCAATGGGGTTCTGAAGTTCTGATCGGACATACAAATAAACAAACAGAGATTACTACTATATACATAGATGTTCAAGGCTAGGAATAAATCAGGAACTTCCAAACAATAATATACCGAAGTTTCTGACAAGAGAGGATTATAAACAAAGAGTCCTGTCTTTTAACAAGCTAAGAAACCAATGTAAAATGTGACAAATCCTATGGGGGATACTTATACTATGCCCTATACATACCGTGCAAAATAAAATATTTATATTTTGCTTGTTTATTTGTTTGTATGCAATAAACGTAAAAACGGCTGAACCGATCGAGTCCACATTTTTTGCGGGACCTGAGTCTTATAGCCCCATGAATACCCCTTTACTTCCTCAATCTATGCTTGTATTTTTTCATTCTTTATGATCGCACAGAAGGTTTATTTTAAATAAATGTGCCTTAAAATTCGCTTTATCAAAATCCAAGAAAAAATATATTGTATCCAAAAATTTTTTTGTCATTGTTTGATAATATAAAAAGAGTAAAAGTTAAGCCAAGTATTTTAAATGGTTTTATAAACTTTTTACTGCTATTGATTTTGAAGGGTGAAATTATAAATGTTAACATAGAAAAATCATTATCTTTCATGCCAGAATACTCTTTCTAGAATTAACTGCACTTATCAGCTTATCATCTAGAAATTATGGAAAATTCAATTATATTTCTATAAATGATAATTCATAACGAATTTTCTTCTTTTCTGAATATTAATCATTGTGCTTTCTCCATTTTATTTTATTGTGTGCTTATAGTGTGAAGACTTCATTTCTCAAAGTTTTTTCCTTGTTTATGCTGTACAATGTTAATTGTACAATGTAAATTGTACAATGTAAATTGTACAATGTTAATTGTACAATGTTAATTGTACAACCAAGGAAAGTAAAAAAAAGGTGAAAGGTGCAAACTCTGATTTTGAAAAAGAAAGTTTTGATATAAAACCATTTTCAGTATTTGCTGTTTTTCATCCCAATCTTTCATATTTTTGCTAGATAAAAAAGTCTAAGTTTAAAACATTCAGGATCTTCACCGTCGCGTCTGGTTGCAAAGCTATAAAGATTAAAAAATTTGAATGAGTTCAGTTTTCTTATAGTATTTAAAGTCATTTATACAAGAAATTTTTTCTTAATTGAATCTTTAATTCAAAGTTTTATTTTGGACATTTTATCTTTGCGGGTGGTCAGCATGAAAATGATTCCGGTTTTATGTTGGAAATTTGGGGAATCAGCAAAAACCCTATTTTAATTATGATTCAATTTTGATTTGATCTATGAAACGTATGAAAAAAAACGTATTTTTTACAATAATTAGGCCTGCTTGAAAATTCTTAAGAAATATGTCTCCGAAATATCAGACAAGTTTTTTAACATTTTAAGAAAGTTACCGAACGAGAAGCATTGTATTTTCAATTCTTGAACAGAACTAAGAGTTCAGTTATCAGTTAAAAACTAACGGTTTATAACTAACTTTTAACGATCCGATTAATAAAAGTCCCGAGAAATTAATATTTTTAGGATGTATTTTTCTGTATCTTTGTATTATTAAACAAAAACTAGATACAAAATAAACATAAAAAAAAACAAGATTTATCTCTGAAATGTGTTTCCTGGAAACAATAAAATGTTATTTATTCTATTCACTCAACATGGCTGTATTGTTTTCCTACTTTAATCAAAATAGGAAAAACAAAAAACAAGAAAAGGTATTTGTGTTAGTTCTATACACAAACTTGCGCATTTCTTCTTCAGAAACAATGGAATAAATTGCCAGAATTAAATATTTGAAAGCTAAAAAGTGGCGATATCTTTCACATTATTGATCTGATAAATTTTTTTAAAACAATTTCTTTTGTGAACTAGGCATGGTTTTCTTTAAATGGAATATCACTTGAAATTACAAGGATAAATTAGATATTTTATTTAGAAACTGTATAAGCCAAAATACCATTTATTTTTCTTAAACCGAGTTTTATAAGTTGCCCATTGCCCAGTCCTACGAAGAGTTGGTTTTATCATTAGGAAGTCCATTAGTGTATTACATATTCAGTTGTACTGTTTATCACGGGATAATCAAGTTCCTTACTTCAATAATAGAGATATATAGTTTATATCCCCCCCCCCCATATTCTGCCTTGTCTAGCCGGAACCTCCTCTCCTTTGCCAAAGATCATACTGCTATATATGTGGGCATTTTAATAAAGAATTCCGTCGTAGAGATCACTGAGACTGTAGACATATTTCAGGGGCGTAGAAGAGCTTTAGTGTATGGGGGGGGGGGCCTTTTGCGAGCGTCAGGGCGCCGAGTTTTTTTTTGCACCCTCTTGAAGATTTCGTGCCCCCATTTTGACAAAAGTATTTTTTAGTTTTTTATATTAAAGAACCTTATAGTCTTTCATACTTAGTCTTTGCTTGGTTTAGAATATATTTGTTGAATATATATATATCAGAGGTGCAAAGGAAATGAGATTTTGCCACAAACTCAAAATTATAATCCCTATATCTCTGCAACCCAATGTCGTAGATTTTTGATATTTCAAACTATGAATTCTGTTAGGCTTACACCATCAGGTTTCCAAGAAATAAGGATTAGGTTTGTTTGTGCGGAATATCAAAAATATTTTAGGGTTGTAATTGCAGAATGTTTGAGTAAAGAGAATTAAAAATGATGAAAAGTTGTTTTCTAATGTTTGAAAAATATTGAAAAATGATGAAAAAGTTGTTTTCTAATGTTTGAAAAATATTGAAAAATGATGAAAAAGTTGTCTTCTAATGTTTGAAAAATATTGAAAAATGATGAAAATGATTTGCCTTTTAATGTCAAATTTGTATTTTTTCCCCACATAATATAAAATCAGTTCATAAATGAGTCCCCCCATTCGTGCCCCCCCAGGGGGGACACGTGCACCCAGTGCCCCCCTTCGTACGCCCCTGTTATAGTCATGCATAGTTATATTATAGTGAAATTAGTAATCTACATTTATTTATTTGGATCGCGATCAAACCTATTTGCCTCAAATTTTGATAACGTGGAAGCACCACAGGAATGCTTTTAGATTTTGTTTTAGAATTATTTGAAAACCCAGCATCATTAATGGAAGAAGTTACTGCATTATGATTTTTTTCATAATGTATGAAGAAATGATGGAATGGTTGTAGTGTAGATCAAACAGTATTTACGCTAAAATTAGTTTAAGGACGCGAGGTAGAAAAATATGCTCGAATAGCTGGGGATAAAAAATTTAATTACTTGTCAAATCTGTAAAACTCTCTCATATTTTGGTATTTTCTAAATGTTAAATTTGACAACGACAATATCTTCCACATTATTGATCAGGTAAATGTTTCAAGGGTGCCGTAATGATTTTTGTAAAAAATTAATTCAGTAAATACTAAATAATCCATATAATAATTGGATGAATTGTACTTTAAACTGTGTTGAAGAGAATGAATCTAATGTTATTTCCGATATGGGAAAAACAGTTCTACAACATGGTACTTTTGAAAACAGGATAAACCCGTGACTACAGAAGACCAAGGATGCTAAATATCAATCTACAGTGATAACCAGAAAACAATAGAGTGTTTATTCTTGTGGCATATATTTCTTTCTTTTTTATTTCTTTTTTTTATACTTTAGAAAGGGAAGATTAAAGAGAATAATAAGAATAAAGAGAGAATGTGAAGAATAAAAAAAGAATGGGAAGAATATAGAGAGAATAAGAATAACGAGAAAATGGGAAATATACAGAAAGAATGGGTAGAGAAAAAGAGCTCGAGAAGAATAAAGAGAGAATGAGAAGAAAAATGAAAGAATGGGAAAAATATAGAGAGAATAAGAATAACGAGAAAATGGGAAGAATAAAGAAAGAATGGGTGGAGAAAAAGAGCTCCAGAAAAATAAAGAGAGAATGAGAAGAAAAAAAATTGAAAGAAAAAAAAGAGAGAAATAAGTTTAAAACCCATAAAATTCTAAAAGTTTACACAACGAAAACAGTGGATAAATGTGTTTAATCTATCTTTATAGGGTTTATAGTTCTATAGTATACAAGCGAATTGGCGGCCAGATAAAATAGATTAACACTTGAAGTTTGAACTTTTGAATGTAAATGGCGCAAAGTGGAAACAGTTCCTGTAGCAGCAATAATAAGTGCTTTATCCGTGAAAAACAGCTGACTTTTATTTCCGCGATCTCACGTATTGACCTTTAGAGCTATCCAGAAGCAACATAACTTAATCGGACCACAGAAGATTCGGATGAGTGTTTCTTTAAGTGATTACCAATACATTACAAGAGTTACACATGCTTCCCCTGGGCCGGGAGCTTGATTCTGCCTTGTACCTGATTCCAAAGATTCACTGTATTCACGAGGATGATCCTCTAGACCGTGCAGTGCCAAGCATCCAACGGACAGTAAACAACTGATGAGCCTGAGAACCGGCTTCTTTCCGGTCTCTGCCATCACAGCCTCCACCGTTTTCTGGCCTCTGGCAGATGTGCCTCTGAGGACGGACTGTGGTGGGAATTGCGTATTATCCGCATGTTGGTTTAAACTTTTCACTACGATTCTGCTCTTTTCGCAGCTCTTTTAGTCTCTAATAGGCCTTTAGCTCGGTTTCCTTAAAAACCACTATCTGAGTGTAAAATAAGAAAATATCGCCATTTTCCATCTTGAAATGTTTAATTATGAAAATGTCCTTCAATTATCTATTGCATAAATCCACAAGTCACTTTTATATGAAAACCACAACTGAAAATAAACAATATGTTTGATAGAGAAACAATGATATCTCATCCATTGCTAAGACTGTCATCCTGGAATTTCAAGAAAAGCTACTCCCCCACCCACCCACCACTTTTTAACAAAATCTTGACAAAAATAGGTTTCACAATAATTTTCAAAACTGAATAGTATTAATACTTTCACTCATCAATTCGTTATCAATAATCAAATGCCAAATTTTTAAAGGCCAGCTCTAGGGGCGTAGTCAGGAATTTGTCCAGGCTTAAATTTTTTTCTTTCCAGGGCGGGCTTAGCACCCGTTGGGGCCTGAAAACCCCCTGAAATCCATAGATTCCACTGGTCCAGGGTAAATGTAAAAAATTTGGCTTTTTTCGACACATACCACTATACATGAACATGAGGTAGAGTGTGATTCCTGTTGTGTGCAATGTCCCGTAAAATTCCAAAACAGAGAGAGGGGGATTGAATTTTGTAGATCCAGAAAAATAATAAAATTAGTATCTATTTAGGATTAGGTTAGGTTAAGACCCTTTCTGGGCCGAGCGCTGCGGCTAGGAGAGTGTTCTTAATTAATCATATTATTTACATTTTCTTGAAAAAAAAACATGATAGTATGCCCTTCTCCCCAATATAAATAGTTTTTTTTTCGTCATTTTCTAAAATTGGTCGGACCGCAAAGTACACCGAATTTATTAGTTTCTATCAGAGGTAAGAGAGTTACAGAGATCGATTAACACCTATAATATGCGATATTCTCCACAGCATATTCTATTGTGTTCAAGTATACTGTACACGACCAATCAGGAGACATCTGTAATCAGGGATATTTATGGATCCTTTGAATAGGAACTGCAAAATCTTTTAAAAATAGACACTATTCATAAACGTTATGTTTTATGTTTAAAATTGGAGTATTTCTTTAAAAGTTGTAAAACTTAACCCCTGAATGAAACAACTGGCCGTGAGATGTCAGTCAAAAAACATTACAATGAACCGTAGCATGGCGTGCCGGGACACAATATGTCTGCTCAGCCTATCCAGGTAGAGTGTATAAGTAGTCTGTGGTTTCTAATTTCAGACGAAAAATGTTAAACTTAACATTATGAACAATTTCCACACAGCAAAGATATTTTTCCCCTATAAACGTCTCGATCATAAATTTTATCATATAGTGAACAATCCATGATTGTTAACGTTAGCACCGAGTCGAAAGTCTATAAAGTTTAGAGCTTAACATTTTGCATATTTATTGTAAACCTTTAAATTCTGTGTGCTGACCGGACCATTTCTTACAAGATTATATCATTATAAGTTTATATAATTTTCTAAAAAATTACTGCCCAACATCTTTCAATTTAAAGTCTTAGGATAAATAATTGTGTAGTTCTTTCTGTGAGGGGGTGTTCAGCGTGTTCAGGTGGGGGCATAATACACAATTTAGGGTTTCCATGCGCAATAACGTTTTTTTCAATTTTGCCTTTTAAAGTAATAAAAAAAATATTTTTGACTTTAATTATCAAAAAACTAACCTTTTAAAAAATGCCCAGCTATGGCTATATACCTGCGGTAAGTTTTAGTGCAATGATGCGGAAAATTTTAATTATTCTTCTGATATCCAGAACTACAGAGACACTGAATAATAGTTTTTTGGAATCATAATACCATCTTTTGTTGTGTTATGCAACTAGATAAATTTTAGGTTTGTACAGATAAGTTAGCCAGCTACAGATCAAGTTTTGCGGCTATAATTACGCATTGAAAACGCCCCACAGCCACGAGTGCACCCCACTACAGCTGGATTAACTTTCAGAAGCCCCCCCCCCCCTAATCCAAGTTAAGCCTGCACAGTGACCAGTCCCTTCTATAATCATTATCTATGCTCACGAAACTTAACTATAGTTGTCACAAACTTGTATTGCCTTTCTTTAGTAATAACTAAATGCTTTCATTATATTAATTATTATTACAATATTCTCATGCATTTATACTTCAGCTATATACTAATACTCCTAATACTTAGATTATCAACCAACTTAATCAAACAAACCCCCCTCCCCCCGTAACTCAAAGTAGATTGCTTCTTTTATGCAAATTAACTGCTTAGGTAGAAGAAAACCGTGAAAAACATAAAGAGCACCGAAACCCCCACAGACTGAAAATGAATTTGCACTGACAACGCCTCTGGGTACTTCAGCTAGCTACAGGGTTACACCTAAAGGATGAGACTTCAGAGACGACTGTACGGAATGTACACTCTCTGTTTCTTAAATTCATTACCCCCCCCCCCTGCAAATGTAACTTGTTTCTTTATTTGCCAAATCATTAAATAAGCCATTAAAATACTATATTCAAGAATTCAAGACAGAAGACTTAATGAACCTAGGAATAGTCATATTTGACGAGTTTCAGGTCGTCTTTACAGTCCCATTCTTTGTGGGTAACCCTGTTTATAAATATTTTAGAGTTAACTCTAAAACCGTAATTTACATAATTTGTTTAATTTTAAGTTTATTCACAATGGACCAATATAATTTAATTTACAAATTCTAACTGCACTCTTCTATATTAAACAGGCTTGCTGTAAACGTACTTTTGCACTTCAGGGGAAGCTACGGCCACGGGGTGTCCCACGAAACATGAAAGTATCAAGACAAATTTAAGATCGTCGTTGATCTTTGAAATAATTTGCAGCATTTTATTCTTCTGTTTAATCAGAGAAACTCTGTATTTTGAGTGGCAAAATAACATTACCTGCAGTCTTATCCACAAGGAATGAGACCTCGAAGACGACTGTACAGAATTAAATCAGTATTTTTTCTTCCATGAAGCTGCGATCAATAGATAATTGAAGGAGCACGAAAACCTACCAGCAGCTCAGCTTATAAAAGGTAAAAAGCAGTGCTTTGGATTGTTATTTAACCTTAACCTTTTCAATTTTTGATATTTTTAAAATAAGTTTTTGAATCTAAATTCAGCATAAAATTTCCAAGAAAATGATGTATAACATGAAATGATCAAAACATTTTTTTGTTGTATGTAGTAATTTTTTGCCCATCAGAAAAAGTTTCTTACTGAAAAGGCTAAAATTTGGCAAGTCATTATTATTTGTTAACTATCGACCTGTGCTGGGCAGTTAACTGATTAACAAGTCGATCATCTCTAGTGATCATGTCGAATTTGTGAGTTTATCCGATATTAACTAACTTAAAAGAACTAAATCTTATCAAACTCAACCCTCATACTGTCATATTCGGAGTCGGTTTCAGGTCGTCATTATAAAGTCTCTTTCTTCGTGAGTAACCATGAATATAATTGGCCAAAAATATTTAGTCGTAAGTTGTTAAATCGCTGAACATTTTAAAATTAATTTGATCCAATTAAGAATGCTTTGTTTAATATTAAACTAAGCGTTATAAACTTTGAAACTAGAATTTTCGGGGAATTATTCTAAAATAAAAGGGAAAAATTCTTGAAAAGTGAAAAGTTTGATAACAAAATTTAATCTTTATTAAGATTGACTGGTGACATTCCAGCTTTCAGCTTTCCATCTTACAATTTAAGAAAAATGTGAAGGGTAAATAGGAACATTGCGTGTATCCGGTTTACAGGGTGTCCTACTTAAAGCCTATTCTATATATATGTATACATTGATTGTCTGTCTGTTTTAGATCCAGTTAAGGTCCAAACCGATCGGTCCCAGTGAGACCTCACTTGACCCCAGGGAAGGTTTATTGATGCTCAAAATTACATAAGTGCGTTTTCAAAAGTTTTCAATTTTTGCAGAATATTACAAATGCGCGAAAAAATATGAATGAAACCACGAACATTGTTTTGTTATTGTTCTATACTGTACAAAGAGAAGATGCTCACAGATTGAGCCACAAATAAAAGTTGAGATGGAAGAGCTTACTAGTTTGTTTATTTGTATCTAGTAAACGTCACAACGGCTAAACAATATGAGAACTATAAAAAATGGCAGTTAGAAGCTAAACCTTGTTACTTGGAGAGAAAAAAAAGCACCCTAAAAGCCTATTTATTACGAGCTCTTAATCTTTCTCATTCAAATGTATATTGCATATTGTAAATACATACATTACAAGCAGGTATTAAGATTACTAAGACACTCCATCTCAAATTAAATCCATATTTTTTTGGGGGGGACAAACTGTACTTCGATATTAGGACATTCCAAAAGAAATTACGTTTTTGAGTTGGAATGTGTTAAGCATTGAATATTAAGCATATCAGAAATTTGCGTTTTCATCTGTGTAAACTGTTAATTTATGAAAACCTTATCGATACAATGACAATTTATGAAAGCTAAATCGATACAATGACAATTTATGAAAGCTAAATCGATACAATGATAATTTATGAAAGCTAAATCGATGCAATAATTGATTAAAAAAGAAGATTTACTCCCTTGTTTATTGTAATAACATATGTTTTTAAATTGCGGCATACAGAACATTAACATTTATAAAAAAACATTTATAAAAAAATCAAATTATTATAATAATTAAGAATTACATTAATTATTTATGATTTATTTGTGAAGAATGAAGTCATCTTCCTTTGACCCTTGGGCGTAGAAATTTTCTTTTTCTCCGTTTTCTTCTTTTTCTTTTCGATATTTTCTAACTTTGCTTTCTTTTCTTTCCTTTCGTCCTTATCTTCCTTATCTTCCTGCTGAATTCCGAACTTTTCTTGAACAATTTCTTCGGCTTCGCGAGCAAGGATTCGTTTCCTAGACTTAGTTTTTGTTTTCGCCAATTCCTAAAAGTAAAAAAGTAAAATTTCTTAACAATAATAGATAAGAAAGTACACAAAAAGATTTTGAAATTTAGTTTGCAATCGTTTTTCTGGCGTGGTGAGAATGCAGTAACAATTTAATATCTATGGACAGGTTTTGTAGAATTTCCCCATTTTTTAGTGCTTAGGATCCGGATCCGTTGGATCCGCAACATTTTAGCTTCTTAGATCCGGATCCTCAAATATATACGAATATACGAATCAAGATACAAGGGGGAAAAGATCACCTAAATCTGAGCTGCTGAAAAAAAGAGAGATTATCAAAAATTTCCTCTTTTTCTACAGTTCATCAAGTTTAAGCATAAAAAAGAAAAATAGTTTGAAAATACTTTATCCGTTAAAAAAAAATCAGTAAAGCTTACAGAATTGTTTTTAACTTGGATCTGAATACGTTTTCATGATCCGGATCCGCATCAAAATCAAATGGATCCCAAGCACTAGGCTTTTAAAGTCAGCCATGAAATGCACGATAGTCAGATTTTCAAATCTATTTTGGGAGTGCTTTGATTCTAACTTATATTTAATCCAAACAAACTGACATGAAAGGGCAAATATACATTTATGTTCGCACCCCCCCCCCCCACATACATAATGAGAATCAACCCAATATCAATTGACTATTTATTTTTAGGGTCGCATACCCAGATTAATATCCGTATCCTTTTTTACTGGATTAACACTCTAAAATTTCCCTCCTAGTCTCTGCTGTATAGATACGCAACTCACTTTTACCAAGAACAGCATTTTATAAATTATCAATTTTCAGAGAAAAAAAGGAGAACTCAATCTACGACAATTACGTCGACAAATCCCTTTAACCCCTTACAACTTGGTTTACCTTCTTCCCCTGTTCAATATTCTCCTTAAGCTCCTTCTCCTGCTTCTCCTTCAGGTCGGAGAGGATCCTGCTCACGTTCTCTATAGTATTTACAGGAGTAGAGGGGGAGCAGGCAGAACTTACAAGAGTAGATCCGCCAACCCTCACTCCAACCCTCTCTATACTAGCAGGGACTGGAGAACTGTCACCCGCCCAACCCAAACTAGATTTAAACCTGAACAATAACATAGATGACAATATTAAAAAAACTAAAAAACGCCATAATAAAAATAACCCTTTTAATGCAATATTCTCTTTAAAAAATCCAGTATTTAATTCAAAAAATAAAAAGAAATGTTCTTATGAACAATGAATTAACGACGTCAATGTCATAATGTCATATTAATTCTCGAATATCATCATAAAATTGAAAAAGTATTGTGCGTTACTTGTTTTAAAAATAAAATGTTATTTTTTAATCTGGGTTTTTTCGTGTTTAATAGTTTTAAGGTAAACTGAACAACTGAACCCACGAAAAATGTTTATGATATTAACATTATATTACGTTATTTTAAGTTTTCAATTTTAAATAACTTGATACTGATTCTCTCCAGTGCTTAGGATTCGGATCCGTTGGATCCGCAAGATTTTGACTTCCTGGATCCGGATCCGCAAAAGTATGCGGATCCACGGATCCAGATCCATGGGGTAAAATATCAACCAAAAACTGCAAAAAAAACCTTTTTTCACTCCTATAACCCAAATCTGAACTTTTGAAAAAAGAGAAATTATAAAAATTTCCTCATTTCTGAATTTCCAAGTTATAGGATAAAAATAAGCGAACAAATTTAACAAAATTTGAAAATTATTTGCTGTTAAAAAATTCAGTAAATCTAAAAAAATGATCTGGATCCGGATCCTTTTTTTTCCAGTGCGGATCCGGATCCTTATAAATTATAAATCAAATTCTACCTATTAAATTATTTTGAGAAGATATAAGAAATAAACTGAAGAAAACGTTAACAAACGGTTGATTTCCGATTTCATATCTTCAGTTCAGGCCTATATTTGAATTGGAGTTTCCATCTTCATAGTTTTTCAAACTTTTGGATTCAGATCATAATTGTAATTAACTTTCTAGTCTGAAAATAAAAATGAGCCGAAAAAGATTTTCACGGATTTTTTTCTTCATTCATTTCTTTAATAAAACTTTTAGCGCGTTGAAAATCAATAAAGCAAGACAAAAAAATCGTTTTGCCGTAAAATAATGCGCCAAATTAGATTTGTTTCCCTGCCATCAGAGACAAAATCAGTAAAAAAGGGGGCAACATCTTTATTTTTCAAGATAATATTCTTAGATTTTGCAGAGAAACTGGAATATTGATTTAGGTATGGAATAAGTTATTGAAACCCATAAAAATATTAAACTTCCTTTTTTGGCATTTTTTAATAATCAACTTTTTTTTCCTTGGTTACATGGGAGGTGTCTAATGTCACTCAATTATGGTGGGAGATTTCATTTTTTCTCTTTTTTTGCATATGTGAAACAAACCTGGGGAACTCCGGTTGAACCGGGAGGGTTGGAGTTCCTCCCTTGACGTTTAACTTCTCCGCTATAGAAACCTGGTTTACAAAAGCATCAAACTCATCTCCGTCCTGCTCTACTCCAGGCTCAGATACACCTGGCTTCACCATCTGAGGGGTTCGGAAGAAGTTGACAAGTTTCTTACTCCGGGACGGAGTTTTCGTCAGGACTGGTATTTCATCTTTCTCAGATACACAGGAGAACATATCAACCAATCCTAGAATTCAAAGAAAAATTTTAAAAAGTGCATTTTAAACATGTTTGCATATTTCCAAGGTTCTAGTTTAATAAATGACAAAAGAAACTAAAAATTCGCCTCAGATTGTAATTGTTTAATAATCCCTATGTTTTTCAACCATGGTGTATTGATATTTCAAACGTTTACTAACAAAATTAAAGCTTCCCATATGATATGTCGACGCAATTCAGGGATAGACATTTTAAGTAGGAGGATAAAATGACAAATTAAACAGTCACACTTTAATCAGAGCAGAATTTCGGGAAGAGCCCTTGTTACTGCACTACTTTCAAAAAAGAAGGATAGTTATCAGTTCAATTGATCAGTGCTTAGGATCCGGTTGAATCCGCAACATTTTGGCTTACTGGATCCGGATCCGCAAAAATATGCGGATCCACGGATCCGATTCCAAGGGCAAATTAACAACCAAAAATTGAAAAATTCCAATCTGAACTGTTGAAAAAAGAGAGATTATCAAAAATGTCCCTATCTCTGAATATTACATCAAGTTGTTGCAAAAAAAAAGTGAAAAAAGTGAGAAAAATATATCGGAAAAGTCTTCTTCTGTTAAAAAAATCAGTAAATCTTAAATAAATGTCTGGATCCAGATACATTTTTTCCCAGTACGGATCCAGGATCCGGATCCGCACCAAAAATAAATGGATCCTCATCACTGCGGCATTGAATAGAAGATTAAATATCTGTGATTAGAAAAGTTATGCTAACCTGTAACCAACTTCAAGGCTGGTTTACCCATCACTCCTCTAGCAGGTGTACTTTCTATACTCTCACGACGACCTTGAATACACCTATCAACCGACTCACAAACTTCACATATATCCGCCTAAAATAAATTTATATATAGTGATAACCAGTAAACTCTGGAATAGTAAGTCGACTTTTAAACTCAAGTTATAACTTTAAAAAGTCAAATTAGCATGAGAAACAGCATGTGTGCACATTTTCCTTCTAAGCGATTTATTAACTTACTAGTAAAGCTATTTGCTTTGTAACGTCAAGTTCACTTTAGTATTGCTTTAATATCGTTTTCCTATTCTACAGTTGTCTCGTTATGACTGCATAATTTGTATCTATAACAGCTAGAGCGATCGGCTCCAAATTTTTTAAACGTTTTTATATTCATTGTTTTATGACGAAAAAGACGCTAATGCTAGTACGGACCCTCCCCCTTCACATACTCTTGCATCCTTTATATAGACTTTAGTTTTACTTCACACATTTTTCCAAAACTCCACTTAATTCGAAATATTTTCGTGGATTTATTGAACTAGTACCCAGGTTTATCGGTTACCTCGAGTTTTACTCCGGTCTTGACCAACCAGGATTTTACGCATTGCGTAACCTGAAACAAAAAAGATCTAGTGACTGTGGAGTAAAGGGTTTCTCAGTGAAGTGCCGAGAAAAATGTTTCTTAAAAAGAGAAACAGGGGATAACTTCATGAAAGAGGCTGAAAGCATAATATCTAGTGACGGGTGACCCTCTCTGCAAAGATGGCAATGTTAAAACCATACCCTGAAAAGCATTGTCTGATCAAGTATGAATTAGATATGGATTTTTATTATTGATTTTATCTTTTTTTTTTAATTTGTGGTTTCTATGAAAAAGCTAGTTTTATTGCTCATTAGAAACAGTGCAGAAATTCACAGAAACACTTCTCGTGCCAGAAAAACGACGTTATCTTCCACAGTTTTAATCAGGTTTCAACAGTACCGTTGTAAACCGGACCTGGAGGGTTATTTAAAATTACACTCTTACAGTCTCTTTAATTAGGTTGCAGAAAATATCAATAGAAATAAAAATGTTTGATTCCCGGATCAATTAATGTGTTACCTTCTCAATAGCTGAGGATGGATCAGTGGTTTCCTCTAGTTTAGATTGTACTTTCTCCATAAGTTTAACTAGTTCTGACAACTGCAGCTCAAACTCAGAGAAAGGATGCTCTCCTCCAGGTGCATAACTCTTCCCCCCTTAAACCAGAGATTTATCAAAATACAATTCACACTTAGGATCGCAAATAAGTCAACATAACGAAGAGGAGTTACAAAAAAAAGAGAGCAGCTAATTTGGCGACTTTTGATTGGCCTAACCTTTACAGAAATCCATAAGGGTTTAAATCCATAAACTAGATGAAATGAATAATGAGACTAACATATTTATAAACGAACACAAAAACTCCTAAAACTTGAAAATAAACGAAATGCATAATGTTTCACAGAGTTTGTAAAAATGAAACATTCTTGTTATTTTATTAGAAAATTTTCCTTTCCGGAATAGTTAAAATTTAAAGTTTAAAACATTTCATGAACTAAATTTTATTTGAAATAATAAATTTAACTTTTCTGTGCCAGTCTTTATAATAGGAAGTCATTAAAATAGAGAGAAGAATAAAAAGTGTAGTAAATTAAAAAGAAGAATAGGAAGTGTAGTGAATTAAGAGAAGAAAGTGTAGTAAATTAAAAAGAATAAAAGGATGTGTAGTGAAAGAGAAGAACAGGAAGCGTAGTAAATTAAAAAGAAGAAAAAGAAGTATAGTGAAGGAAGAGAAGAACAGGAAGCGTAGTAAATTAAAAAGAAAAAAAGGAAGTGTAGTGAATAAAGAGAAGAACAGGAAGCGTAGTAAATTAAAAAGAAGAAAAAGAAGTGTAGTGAAGGAAGAGAAGAATAGGAAGCGTAGTAAATTAAAAAGAAGAAGGAAGTATAGTGAATAAAGAGAATAATACGAAGCGTAGTTAATTAAATAGTAAATAAAAGAGAATGAAAAATTGTCCATAAAAAAAAGAAGAAAAAAGTAGTTTATTGAATATTAAAGAGCGAATGATACGAAGTGCCACGAAATTATAAAATTTGAAAATATTTTTCTTCGCAATATTTTGCTGGACTTTTAATGTGTTTTCTCAAGAAGTTAAATAAATGTTTGGGATTTGATTTGATAAACAGGATAGTGAGAAGGATATGACAGGGATGAGATGTAGCAAAAAATCACTTTAAGACCTGATTCAAGATTCAAGAAAATTTGGGGAATTTTTATCCCTGAAATGAGAAAATGAAAGTGAATACATCTAAATCCCACGCGTTTTTATAACACACAGGCATCAATGCCTGGAGACCTTTAAGAACTTTATATAAATGTATATAATATATCAAGTAGTAATCTGTAATAAAGTAGTGTAGGATGAAGGTTGCCGTAGCAAATGGTTACAAAATTCTTAGCTACTAGCTAGCCAGTGATAGATAAATGACCAAGTTTGTAAAAATATATTAATAAACCCCATATTTTGTAAACCTGAACATACCTATATAAATTACGTTAAAACATTATTTTCTGAACAAACCTATCGGTCCATATTATTAACATGTACTATAAAACCCAAAATATAGATTATATGGACATGAACCTTTGCTTTGTTACGTTTAGACTCATATTATTTCTCGTGCCCAGAGGATCGAGTCCGAGAACGAGTTGTATCTGAACGATATATATTCAAAATACAGAGAGTATTGTATCTGGATTTACAGACTAAGGTATTATTTGAGAATATAGAGTTCGAGAGCGGGTTGTATCTGGATTGAAACAGACTTAAAAGAACTATTGGAGTAAGGCATTTGTTATAGATTTAAATATTAAAGCTCGAGTAATATTGGAAACTATGCACTGGGACATGACTAGGTTTACCTAAGTATGCTTGTGTAATATAAGAAACTATGTACTGGTACATGACTAGGTTTACCTTATGATGCTTGTGTAATATACTATGTACTGATACATGACTAGGTTTACCTAAGTATGCTTGTGTAATATATAACTATGAACTGGTACATGACTACTGACTAGGTTTACCTAATGATGCTTGTGTAATATAAGAAACTATGTACTGGTACATGACTAGGTTGGATTTCTCGGTCTCCTGTCTCACTATTTGGCATTGGCCGGAGGTAAGTAACCCTGTCTGCGTAAGAACCCTGAAAATTCAGTTCAGTTAAGATAAAAATAAAACTGGAGGAACCGAGTCTTTGTCACAAACTCTGATTTTACAATCCTCACACCTTTGCAACCCGGTATGCTAGACCTTAGATATTTCTGATTATGAATTCTGTTAGATCAAATAATCTTAGATTGTAATATCAAAAGTTTACACCATCAAGTTGTAAAAATATAAGGATTAGAAAGAGATTTGGGCAAAGATTCATTTCCAGTTCTTTGTTAATTAATGACATAGACATTTTCCTTTGCAGATGAAAGTAAAAGCCGTAAAACTGAATTTTGCTTGAACTGTGAATATGTGTACAATAACATTGACATGAAAACATCTGTGGAACGCAGAAACAATAAAACAATTCCGTTCTTGAAAATTAAATGCACCATTTATCAAGTTAATCTTTAAATTTTGGTAAAAACTAAATTAAAGGAACTGTAAAATGGGATTTCAAGTTTTCCTCCGTTTATAGGGTCGGTTTTTTTTCTTCATTTCAATCTGATGAATTTTGAAAATGGTATCATTTTTCTTTATTACTGATGCATAGATTCGCAGATCACTCTTCAGAAAAATTATCAATTTGAATCTGTAAAAACAAGGATATGTCTGTCATCGTTGATTTGAATCGTTGATGGCACTTAATCAATGGAGGGTCTCTCTTAATTACGTCTTCAGTACCCATAAAGGGGAAAATTTATTAAAAAAAATTGAGATTTCTTAAAAAATGACCTAGAATTATAGAAAACAAAATCCCTGATTTCAGTAAAATTAATTACCTTGCTAAAGATATCTCATCCCTTGTGTTTACAATTAATCTTAAAATACCAATCCAGCTCTGTACACCTGCAGCACATAAACAATATAATCCAGCTCTGTACACCTGCAGTACATAAACAATATAATCCAGCATAGTACATCGACAATATAATAACTGGTTGTCTAAGGTAAACATATACAACAGTCGGTAAAACAAGCTTTGCCTTAATGTGTACAATCTTTATTAACATATTTTTAAAACTAGTTCCTAGCAGTTCTAGCATGTCACTGTTATTAAAATCTAGTTCCTAGCAGTTCTAACATGTCACTGTTTTTAAAAACTAGTTTAGCAGTTCCAACATGTCTCCGTTTTTAAAAACTAGTTTAGCAGTTCTAACATGTCTCTGTTTTTAAAAACTAGTTTAGCAGTTCTAACATGTCACTGTTTTTAAAAACTAGTTTACAGTTGTAACATGTCACTGTTTTTAAAAACTAGTTTAGTAGCTCTAACATGTCACTGTTTTTAAAAACTAGTTCCTAGCAATTCTTACATGTAACTGTTTTTAAAAACTAGTTTAGCAGTTCTGACAAGTCACTGTTTCTAAAAACTTGTTTAGCAGTTCTAACATGTCACTGTCTTTAAAAACTAGTTCCTAGCAGTTCTAACAAGTCACTGTTTTTAAAAATTAGTTCCTAGCAGTTCTAATATGTCACTGTGTTTAAAAACTAGTTTAGCAGTTCTAACATGTCACTGTTTTTAAAAACTACTAGCAGTTCTAACATATCACTGTCAATGTGCAAACAAACTTGACCCCCCCCCCTTCCAAACCTTTATTTATAAAACCTTACTGTGCAGGAAGCATAATCAGTCCTTTTATTACTCGCCCTATTCCATCTTCTCTGTTTAAATTTATAATTTATTACTGAGGGGTTTAATAATTAATCATGTATAATATCCCCTCCTCAAAATATTTTTCTCCTCACGAACTAATGTTCTCATTCGACAAATTCCACTTATAAATGTTAATAGAAAATAATAATAATATTCTTTTATCAGAAATGTGTTTACAAATTAAACACGCTCTTCACTTTGAAGTAGCACTTAACAACAATATTTATTTTTTAATTAATCCAATAAACTTTTTCATTTGTTATATTCAAATAACTGTTTGAATCCCATACCTGAACTGACCCTACCCGGCCCGGCTTCGTTTGACCCGACCCGACCCAACCTGGTTGGACTTGACCGACCGACAGATTTGACCTGACCTGACCTTACAGCTAGCTGACCAACCAAAATTAAAAAGCAGGAGTAAATATTTTGAAGAACAACTACCCAAACTGTGAAGTTCCCTCTTATAAATTATAAAAATCATTTATTATTTCATGAATTTATTTCTTTTCCATATTCAGCGAAAAAAAATTTTCCCCTTTATAACAGAAAAAAATTGGGAAAATATTAACCCCTGTAGTAACGTGAAAAAAAAATTGAGAATAGTCAATTGTCCAAATCACGAAACGTTCATATTCAAAACTCAAGACCACTCATTTTTATTGTGGTCTATGTTACCTGGACACGCTAGTAAAGAATTCAACTGATCCCTGCTCAACTCTGTATCTAGAAATAGAACTGTAAACAAACCATCAAAATTATAAAATTGGGATTAACACAGAGGTTCTATAAGAAGTGTTAAGATTGGATGTGAGTCTTTACCTGATCATTCATCATTTCCTTTCCTCCTTTGTCCTTTCTTTATTCTACCCCCCNCCACCCCTTAAAAAGCTCATAGTAAGGGGAAAAATGATAAATATACACACATGGAGGAATGTAATTAATGTTAACATAATATTCCTTCTTGAAACTGCAGTAAAATTCTTAAAGAAATGGGGATTTTAAGGACAGAATTTAATGATTAAAACTGCCTTCCGCCGGATCAAATTTGAATCATCGATTCAGATCCTTCCTTAATCTTTAAATCGGTGGCTCAAATTTGAACCTGCAGTGGATAGTTCAAATTTATTAAATTGGGTCTCAATGTTATCATCCTTGATGTTTACCTGAAGGATAGAGTTGAGATGAACCCACTTCACGGGATAGAAGTTCTAGAAAAGTTTAGATTAAATCCACAACTCTGCTTTTCATACTAATTATCCTATACAGCCTGACGTTTGAACAACTTGGTAGAAAAGTTTTATATTTAGAATTCAACTCTTCATTCACCAACTAGGAACTGAATTGCCATATTACAAATAATAATTTTTATTTATCTAAAGGGATTGTTCATAAATTTTTTTAGTGCCCATAATATCTCAATTAGGAACAATACTATGACATTCCGCGATGGTTATTTTGAAAGCAAGTAATGGCCTCAGGTACGTCATTGAGATGCAATTTATTTAGTTTCCAGCTCTTCCCAAAGTAGTAGAAATCTAATTTTTTTTAAAAAGATTAACAATTCTCATGAAAAATAGTGACCTAAATAAAATTATCATGAGCCACCAATTGACGCTCCCCCCCCCCAAAAAAAAAAAATCACTTAAAAAACAGATGTCTGAGGGACAGATAACCTAGTTTGTATTATCAATAATTCTGAAGACTAAAAACTTAAAACCAACAGAAGTTGTGAATTTCTTGCTTAAGCATTGATCTCTTAACTAATTAATTTAATTTCTCTTCAATGGATATAGAAAACAAGCGTTCAATATTAGCAAAATTCCACACAAAAATTGACCTCAAAAAAACTTGGTGTTCACCTGGATCATATGTTTCTATATCAAAAGGTTCTGATATTTCGAGAGATTTATCCACCAGACTAATTGTTCTTAGTGTTCCTAGGTTCAGTAGACTTAGAACCGGTTTCTCCGACTCCGGGATAGATTGCACATAGACTAGACTTATCCTGGAGGGTTCACCAGAACTGAGAAGTTTTCTAGATTCTTCATAAACCGTCCAAACATCGATTAAATTGCACTTTTTCAAGAACTCCTGGAATAAGGATAAATATAAAAAAAATTTATATTTTCGATTCATAATATATGTTTACATACTATTATTAATACGAGTTAGGTTATACGGAGGATAAATATTGATAAAAATTGTCATGTCACTATCTGTGTGATGGTGGTATTTGCATTAAAAATGGCAAGAGTTCATTGCAAATTGACAAATTTTTCTTTTAAAAAAAATAAGTCTTAAAGAAATGTTCATGACCTGGATCCGGATCAGGATTCATTTTATTTCCAGTGCGGATCCAGGATCCTGATCTGCATCAAAATCAAATGGATCTGTAGCACTGGTTACCCTTGTAGCAAAAAATTTTATACAGCAACCCATAGCCATTAAAATAGCAAAAAACTAGTCTGAAGTTATTATATTAAAAAGCCTAAAACACATCAATTGTGGAGTGCTCACAGACCCATTTCACTAAATAAGTCTTATTTTAAAGCTACCGGTAGACTTATTTTCTATATAGTGACATAAGATTACTCAAATGTCGTCTTCTAAGTCCACATTTTATGGAGACCACTGTACCTGGTAGTTGCCTGCAGCAAGTTCTACAGTAGCATCCTTCCCTTTCTCCGGCCATTTTCCATCCGACCGCAGCCTTGTAATTCTGCTCTGCAGCTCTAGCAACTCACTCCTAGGATGGGTGCTGTCCCCAGTCAGCTCCTTGTTGGCAGCCTGTAGCAGCATACGTAACACTACATCCTGGTCGGAGGCAGGGAGCAGCAGCTTCCGCTTGAATAATCCTGCTGCTCTGCACGTGTGGAGCAGCAAATCTAAGCAGCTCAAATAATATCCATCTCCGACTATTTTCAAACTGGTTTTATCAACCCCCTCCCAGCCGCCTTTAATTGTTTGAACCAGCTCCTGGCTAGGGTTTGGACAGTAGTAAATATCCATATCTAATTCATCTGAAATACATTAATCTAAAATAAGGAATTGTCACAGCGGAAATTTTCTGTCGCGTCCGCGCGCTGAAAAACTAAGATACATAATAAGGGTTTGTACAGAATAAGTGCTCTTCACATCAGAATTTAGTGTTGGGTTTGCAATGAGCTCTCTAGGTTCTATCAGGTACTTGGATCAATCTAGAATGCCATCTCCATCTCTACATTACTGGTCTCATCCATGGAGTGTACGTCCTACATAAGAAGAAAGTAAAATATCAAAATATCAAAATACAAATATAACAGTTATTTTGACCCGCAGAAAGCTTGGGACGAAAAATAATCAAATCTCGATCAGCGAATTAAGAGAAAATTTATCTCCAAGATAATAATATAATAAAATAAAATAATTTAAGAAATGTTTGTACTCTATTCTCAATAAACTGGGATTATTTCTAGATATAACAAGAAAAACAAAGCTTAATTAAATAAGTTTATTTCAATTTTATTTTCATTTAAATTAAAAGTTTAAACTTTATGGCACGTGCTAAATTACACGATTAATTTTACATTACAAACAATGATTATTTTGTAGCACTGCTACTAAGAAATTGCGCATAAACTGAGGATGCTCACAAGTGCACAATTATTCCATAAATTAGTTTTAAAACACATTAGTTCTTACTTTAAACGCTGATGGAAGAGGTTCAAGCATTGAGTCAGTATCCAGTACAGCCTAGGAAACAAAACTTGATTAAGATAATTGATCATTTTGTTATAACACATTTTTAAGGAAATGATTAAGGTGGTTTTTAAGAAATTGATCACAGATTATAAATTAAGGCCAAAAACTGCATCGAATGAGGATTTTAGGATCCTTGGGAAGGGTTTTTAATATTAATACTTTCCTTTACGAACCTAGAAAAGGGTTGCAAGTTTACTTTTCTCTTATTTTTGTAAATTTTAAAATATGTAAATGTTCGAAAAAAACAACCAATGAGAGTTCTTTATTTGTAGAAACTTTACGTAATCTACTCTCTATATTCTCACCTGTTGGAGTTCTCCGTCCTCGTTCATCATCTCTTCTCCGGTTGGTTCCTGAGAAGCCTGATCTCCCCAATTGATCTTGAACCTGGTTACTCTAGGTTGATCTGCCATTATACTCCTGGAGGAGATACACCTTCAGCCAAAGAGAAGGTGATAAGAACTAGAATATTAAAAGAGACTGTAGACGTAATTTCATGTGTCCCTCCATTTCAAGAGTGGCATGTCCGATTAATAACGGCGCTTTGGATGTTTATAATTTTGAAAATTTATTTATTTTCAATTGGAGTTTCTCTTTTAAAGTGACTTGCGAAATACAAAAGAAATAATGAAAGAAATTGTAAGAAATGAACACTTACCAAACGAGGATATCTTCTGTGTCAGAGTTTAAGGTTTGAAGCGTACCGTTGTAAATCGGGCATGCAACTCATTGAAAAAATGGACACTTTAAATTATATCAACAGTCCCTTTAAGAGGGAAATTATATCGACAGTCCCTTTAAGAGGGAAATTATATCAACAGTCCCTATAAGAGGGCGAGGGCTCATTTTTCATGCCTTCTTAATATATTAGTAAATAACAACAGAATTTTCTTTCCGTTTTATTTTACATCCTTAACCGTTTTCATTTTGAGAATAGTTTTAGTGCGCATAGGTTGTATTTCCTGTGAATGACTGATATATTCGGGGTTTCAGGAGGATTCTCTCTCAGCTCATCACTCTCATACTCATTGTTTACAAAATATCCGACCCTATAATGTATAATGTTTATTTTATGGACCATTCCCACTATAATTTCGCGGATAATTATGTTTTCATTGGAGGATTTCCAAAAATAAAAATTAGTTTAGTGCTAAATTGAAAAATTTTGCCCTTCCATAAGGGGTCATGTGAGTTAGCACAATGAAATTTTGCGCCAAATCGGTTCATCCGTTTTGATCGTTTATTAGATACAAACGATCAAACCAACAAACAGACAATGCAAATATATAAAAAGACACAAACAGCATTCAATTTGAATAGTTTAAACTATACAAAAAATTAAAAGTCTAGCAAAAACCTGCATCGAATCAAATGTAATCAAATGTAATCAAATGTAATCAAATCAAATGTAATCAAATAAAATGTAATCTAATCAAATGTAATCAAATAAAATGTAATCTAATCAAATGTAATCTAATCAAATGTAATCTAATCAAATGTAATGTAATCAATGTAATCAATGTAATCAATGTAATCAATGTAATCAATGTAATCAATGTAATCAATGTAATCAATGTAATCAATGTAATCAACGTAATCAACGTAATCAACGTAATCAACGTAATCAATGTAATCAAACCAAAACCAACCTAACCAAACCAAACCAAACCAAACCAAACCAAACCCAATCAAACCAAACCAAATCAAACCAAACCAAACCAAATCACCTGATGAACTCTTGTTCATGATAACTACAAGTTAGAAGAACAACGGTAGCTCCGATAATATCTGCTTTAGGTATCAGGTCCGGGTTAGGGGGGTCAGCCTAGAATTTATCTGATCATTATATTTATTTGATTGATTTACAATATATCAATTTTCGTTAAAGGTTTAATTTTCGCAATCTTTATTAAATCCTGATCGCTTCCGATTGGTTTAATACACCTTGCTGCTTCTTATAGGTTGAATCTATCCTGTCTTATTTGTTTTCGGTTTGAGTCTATCTTGTCTACTACTAATTGGTTGAATTTATCCTACCTGCTTCTGATTGGTTTACTATATCCTGCCTGCGCTTCTAATTGGTTGAATCTATCCTACCCCTTATTATTTGATTCTATCTTGTCCACTTCTGATTGGTTGATTCTATCTTGTCCACTTCTGATTGGTTGATTCTATCTTGTCCACTTCTGATTGGTTGTTTCTATTCTGTCCACTTTTGATTGGTTGAATTTATTCTACCTGCTTATGATTGGTTTAATCTATCCTTGCTGCACTACTAACCATTCGTTACCTTCATCTATCCTACTTCCTTTTAATTGACAGAACTAATTTTGCTCTCTTTTGATTGGTTAAACAAAAATCTTACCTGAAAGGTGAACATATGTCTTCCTTCAGCTACTGGGCCCACGTATATAGTATCCAGAACCTAGATTAGTTACATGCTTAGTGTCAGGCATCAGATTTCGATTAGTTGTTAGTCATTTCTTTCAAATTACAGGTAACTTCCAAAAATGTTTACTGCAATTATCAAATTATAGTAAATGTTCTTTTAAACAGAAGATTTAAACAATAAACATGAACGAAGCATATCAATGTTAGTTCAGAGCTGGGATCTTTTGTGTTAGATACCTATTAGGCCATCAAACAGAACGCTTATCTCAATATCCACTGCGGGTACTAAAAATTTTAAGACCAATGCTTAATTTCTTCACTTTAGTTATTCCTACAGGGTATCCTACAGGGTACGATTACCACTGGATAAAAAATAAAGATTAAATTGGTCTGTAGATTAACAATTGATCAATCAAGCAATAATGTCAATCTCCATAATACAAGAGTTCCCACCTCAGATCCAAAGGACAGAAAAAGATAAATTTAGATCAGAAAGCGTTAAAATCACCTGATCGTAAGATTGGGATTCAGCGGATCCTACGTAGGTCAACTTCCATTCAAGATCATCCTGAATTAAACAAAATTATTATTATTCTATTAAAGGTATTTTAATAGAATTAAAAATGTCAGAACAAACTAACTTGACTTTTAATTACAATTCAAGACTTCTTTTATGAATTGACTGATGTTTTTATTTACAAATCTAAGCTGCAATTAACAAATATAAAAAAAAAAAATAATGCCCGTTAAGTTAGAATAAATGCAAATATTGAATTGTTACTGAAGATGTGGTTGTATTAGAGCGGAAGAATGGGGAAGGGGGTTAAAATAATCTTACCACTAAGTTCTCCATACAGTCGAAAGTTATATCAAAATGAAAATCACTCTTGAACATTGCAGGGTTGTTGTGAACAACAACATTGTTTATCTGAACCTTTGACATTTTTCTGAAATTTATTTGATTAATATTTAATATATAAAATTTAGTGAAACAAAAATAAATTTGTTTAGTGCTTATTTCGGTTGTAAGGACGATGAAAGATATCTAAAATTGAATCTTGTATTTTTGATAGCCCGTCCTCGTCCTCGTCCTCGTCCTCGTCCTCGTCCTCGTCCTCATCCTCATCCTCATCCTCATCCTCTCTTATCCGTCCTCATCCTCGTCTTCATCCGATGTCCATGTGTCAACTGTATACGGATTTATATCCTTCCTCTCTTCACGATGTTCTTCCTATAACAAAAATAATTTTCACCAATCCCTTCAGCCGTGAGTTATAAATTAAAACCCTGATTTAAGAATGAAATAAAAGCAAGTAAGGCCATACCTAGTTAGACTTTTGCTCAATACTAATTAAATCCAAGCTCTGTGTCAGCAGCTTATGATTTTAAAATCTGTTCAATTACCCACTTGCAAAAACAATTTGTTTGTTATTAAAAATTAACCTTTGAAGCTCTAGCCGCAGCGATCTGTAAAGGAGTATCCCACTGTAGAATAAACCTATCCCTACCCCCTGAGTAAAGCTGAACCTTGGCTCGACCCAGATCCAAACAGTTGACATTATAAAGGTGTCCATCCAGGCTGGACAGCTTACATCCTATAAAATAAAATTCGATCAAAACAATATCAAAATACATAGATAAATCAAAATTGAAGAAAATGTTTGTTGCGCAATTTTTTAGAAAAGATACTAAGGAATAAGGATGTCAGTGAAACCCCGGATAGGATTCAATTAACATTACAATTTATTAAAGCAGTTCCTTCCCACCCTTATCCAGTTCCACCACATCCTTATCCAGTTCCACCCCTCCCTTATCCAGTTCCACCTCACCCTTATTCAGTTCTACCTCACCCTAGTTCAGTTCCACCCCACCCTTACTACAGTTCCAACCCACCCTTTCCAGTTCCACCTCACCCTTGTTCAGTTCCACCCCAAAATGTATACAAAAAACTGGCAGCAGTACAATCTGTCAGCAGAATTACACCTTATAGTTACAATGGAACTCAGACAAAGGATCCTAGACTTGTATCATCGGTGTTCTCTATATGGCCTGCGGATAAGGATAAAGAGAAGAAAAGAAATTCTCAGGCTTATAAATGAAACCCCCGGAGCAGTTTCTTCAGCAGTTCCTGACCTTAACAGGTTCCTAGAGTGGTCCTATCCAAGAAAGAACCCCAGGAAAGATTTTAGCCAGTTCAGGTCAAGGAGAAACCCTTAGAGCAGTTTCTGATGGCGCAGGAACTCCTAGAGCAGGTTCTACAGGATTATGAAACACATAGAGAAGATCCTCCTAGATCCAGAGCGCTGAGACCAGTTTTCTCTAGAGCTTTTAGAACCCAAAGAGCAGGTTTTAGTAAAGAAGAACCAAGTTTCTCAAAACTAATAACCTCTAGTGCGGGGTTCTCTGAAGTAGGAGCCCCATGGTGCAGGTTCCTCTACAGTAGGAGCTCCTGGTGCAGGTTCCTCTACAGTATGAGCTCCGGGTGATGGCTCCTTTACAGTAGTACCACCAGTGATGGTTCCTTTACAGTGGGAGTTCCTGGTGCAGGTTCCTCTACAATAGGAGCTCTTGGAGATGGTTCCTTTAATGTAAGAGTCCCTGTTGAAGGTTCCTCTACAATAGGTGCCCCTGGTGCAGGTTCCTCTACAGTAGGAGCACTTGGAGATGGTTCCTCTACAGTAAGAGTCCCTGGTGAAGGTTCCTCTACAATAGGAGCCAATGTCGATGCTTCCCCTTAAGTTGGAGCCCCTGGTGAAGGTTCCTCCGTTGTAGGAGCCACTATTATTGCAGGTTCCCCAATTCGAGGAGTTCTATGTGGTGCTTCTTACATAGAATTTTAACCATTCTGTGATATGAGCTCCCCGAGGTTGGATGGTTCAGATCCCTCCCCAAAGTCAAAACCCATCTATCATGGATCCAACAAATCTACCACTGAAACTAGCCTAGCACCTTCCTCCAGTTCCTACATTATGTTTGGATACTGTAGTGTGTAAAGTTTAAACTTTGCCCAAAAAGAACAAGAACAAAAGTAGGGGATTTCTATGCCTGCTTGGTCTCAACAGATTCCAGCATGAAAGGATTTGATTTGGTACATGCACATTCGAGAACTAATCTTTGTTTAATAGACAGTGAAAATTTAGATAAATGTAAAATGTTCTTATAAACATGTATATTTATTAAATAAATATTTACAAACCAATAATATTATATTATAATATGTCAAAATGTTACTATGTTAATGATAGGGTTATTATAGAACCGAAAATAATAAGTTTTAGAAAAAGCAATATCTCAATCATATTTAAGTAGACGAAGGTTTAAACTGAACCAGTGGGAATCAGATATGTTACCCTATAAATGCAAGGTCAAATCAATTAATACTAGCGGTAACATAAATTACATATCGATTTATAGTATGCTTTTAATAATACCTGATCCCGCGTCAAAAACTGCGATTTTGCTGTTTTCCGGAACAAAGAGAAGATCTTTGACTCCGTCCTCAACCGAGACTAGGTCTATACTTCCTCTGCACCTGGAAAAAAAAATTAAATCAATTTTTTTTGATATGATATATAAATATTTCTCCTTCAATTTGTTCGGTTTGTGTCGTTCTTTGCAATGTTAATTAAATTTAAAAATTCTTATTATGACTTTTATAGGATTTTTGGATGGGCTGAATTCACTTACTTAGTTTCAACTTCAGGAAATTTAGTTTTCAGATTCTTAGATGTCACCGTGTCCCACTGATAAGAGCAGATTATAATCAGGATTTTCATGGAATTAAGGAGATCTCAAGGACCGACTTTAGTTGATTTGAGCTAGGCTGCTAAGTTCCCTACCACCGGTTCAAATCTTGAATCCCCAATTCAAAGTAAACGATTCAAGAGGATTCAAAACGATGACTCAGGAGTTGAACCGACGGTAAGTAGTTCAGCGATCTCTCCAATTTTTTAAATTCAGTTCCGGGGCTTTTTATTAAGTTTATGTTTCAGTTTTCACCAGCGAGAAAGAAAGGTATTATTTTTATGATTTTGGGAAGAAAATGAAAATAAGTTTTTTCCATCTTTAATATACATTTTCCTAAACAACAGATTTTTTACGGTTATGATTATAATCGTTCCTTTCTAATGCGTTTATCATTTCCAAGGGAGTAAAGAAATCGTCCACAGCTCGAATATACCAACCCATGTACACCGGACTAAAAAATAAATTATTTTTTAATCAAAAAATGTTAAATTTTTGCAATTTATCATAATCACCTGGTGAGACATATTCGCTAGTTTTATATCTTTTTTCTTCTTGTATCTTACATTATTATAATCAAGGTAAGTAAGATAGCTACGGGACTGCCTGAAAACTTCAAAATTTACAATTTTTTAAACAAGTCTTTTTCTTTATAACCCCCCCCCCCCTAACCCCTTGCATAAAACACATACCAAGTCTTTTCCACAATTATTACTAATCCAAAACAAGATTTTTCAATTAACATTCAATTAAAATTACCTGACATCCCACAACATTATTTTCTTATCTGCTGACCCCGAGGCTAGCACCCAGGGGTCAGCTCGGGACCAGGCGCAGCAGTTAACCTCGCCGGAGTGACCTTGGAGAGCATGACCACCTAGAGTCCGACTTCCAAGGGTATGACTAAATAGAAAAATATTTTTATTATGTGAAAGAATGTAAGTTATCCTTTTGCTGTTGGGGGGNAATATAAGCTTAAAAAAACAAATAAAAAACATTGTTACTACTGACCAAGTAGATCCAGTTCTAAGGTCCACAAGTTGAAGATGATTTGTCCGTGCAGCAACTGCTACCAGAGCTCCAACCTCTGGTTCACCAATACAGTGCTTGTTAATCGGCTCACCAACTAGAAAACAAGATGATCCGAATCATTGATTATTTTCTTTTTTACCGTCAAAAAAATATGTTAAGTTTATGTTAAGATTAAAAATACATTTTAAAAAATTAAACCTGAAAATTCTTCAACAACAATCCCTCGGTCAGAATCCCACACCTGAAGTTTTCCGTCCCGACCAGAGGACAGAAACATTCCGTTATCCACATACCAACTAAACTAGGAGCAATAAGATACCATGCTAAATTCGGAGCAATAAGATACAAACTAAACTAGGAGCAATAAGATACAAACTAAACTAGGAGCAATAAGATATCAACTAAACTAGGAGCAATAAGATACAAACTAAACTAGGAGCAATAAGATATCAACTAAACTAGGGGCAATAAGATACCAACTAAACTAGGAGCAATAAGAAACCAACTAAACTAGCAGCAAAAAGAAACTAACTAAACTAGGAGCAATAAGAAACCAACTAAACTAAGAGCAATACGAAACCAACTAAACTAGGAGCAACAAGATACAAACTAAACTAGGAGCAAATAAGAAACAAACTAAACTACGAGCAATAAGATACAAACTAAACTAGGAGCCATAAGAAACCAACTTAACTAGGAGCAATAAGAAACCAACTGAACTAAACTAGGAGCAACAAGCTACAAACTAATCTAGGAGCAATAAGATACCAACTAAACTAGAAGCAATAAGATACAAACAAAACTGGGATCAATAAGAAACCAACTAAACTAGGAGCATTAGGAAACCAACTAAACTAGAAGCAATAAGATACCAACTAAACTAGGAGCAATAAGATACAAACTAAACTAGGAGCAATAAGATACAAACTAAACTAGGAGTAATAAGATATCAACTAAACTAGGAGCAATAAAATATCATCAAAACAAGGAGCAATAAGATATCATCAAAACTATAAGCAATAAGATACCACCTTAACTAGGAGCAATAAGATACCACCTAACTAAAAAATAAACTAAACTAGGAGCAATAAGATTCATACGGAACTAGGAGCAATAAGATAGCAACAAAACTAGGAGCAATAGGAAACCAACTAAACTAGAAGCAATAAGAACAAACTTAACAAGGAAGCAATAAGATAGCAACAAGATATTAACCAAACTTGGCACAATAAGAAACACTTAAATATATAGTAGTAATAAGTATACTTTCTTGATTCAAAGTGTCTCAAATATTAACGAAGACTTTTAAGACTTACCAGACAGTTTCCACAGCTCTAGAATGTGCATAGATATTACTCCGTCCTATCCTTAGTTCGACTTTGCTCTTATATCCCGTATCCGTTCTACAAAACAAGCAAACATGTAATTGTAAGTGATATTCGTACATAAATAGCTTATCGTATTCAACTCTATTTCGCCTCAATAGGTTAAGCGTTTGAAGTTTAAAACTATTTCCCAAAAAATTTTGTAACGCAGTTATAACTTTTACACTAATAAGTATTATTTTAAATATTCAATACAATTCCTTTTCCACTTTGGTTACCTCTCTCCATTGACGTCATGTATACTAATGGTTCCGTCTCCGAACCCTGCTAAGATGTACTGTTCATCTAGCCTAAAGCATGGAAAGTGTTTAATTTGTTCAGTCTAAAGCTGAAAATTAACCCAGTCTAAAGCAGATAATCAATTTTAAATGTCTTTTCATCCTAAATAAAAACTATTCAGTATTGTTCATTCAGACTATAGAAGGAAATTAATCTATACAGTTTATCCTGCCTTAAGCAGAAAATTGCTGTCATTCTTGAAAGAAGTCTCAAACAATAATTAACTTTAATTATCCCAAGAGAGACTAGGAACTGTGGTCAATAATACAAATATAAACACTCTACCTATCCCAGGAGAGACTAGAAACTGTGGTCAATAATACAAATATAAACACTCTACCTATCCCAGGAGAGACTAGAAACTGTGGTCAATAATACAAATATAAACACTCTACCTATCCCAGGAGAGACTAGAAACTGTGGTCAATAATACAAATATAAACACTCTACCTATCCAAGGAGAGACAAGAAACTGAGGTCAATTATACAAATATAAACACTACCTATCCGAGGAGAGACAAGAAACTGTGGTAAATAATAAAAGGATAAGTATTCTACCTATCCAAGGAGAGACAGCGCTGCGGCCACATGATAAATTATATCCATGTGTTACATATGAGATCCATGTGCAAAATTAATAAGAAGGGGAGGGGGTCCAAAAATCGTTCCCTAGGAATTTACCTTTGATTTTCCAACTGAACCATGAAAAAGAATGATTTTCACTTAAAATTTTGATCTACCTGAGTTGTGCCCCTAGGATGGTTTTCTTAAACCTATTATTGGACCAGGACCCGGCTTGTCTCAAGGATAGAAGGTGAACCAAACACCTTCCCATCCCTACTCTTCATATAATCCAGCCCTTCTCAATAGAAACCATTTTCACCTGAAAATATATAAAAATTAGAAGTCTAGCCACAAAATGTCAACATTCTGCGTATATGGAGGAATCCGGATTGCAGTATCGGTTATTATTAACATTCAAGCTGTTTTTAAACTTCCTCTTAAAAAAATAGATTCAAAATAGATACATTTCTGGCATTCGTAATCCATGTACCCTGAGAACTTTTCTTAAATATCAAAAAATTCAATAATAAGTTTATTTAGCAATAAATCCCGTTGCTAAAGGAGCTAAAACTTTGATCACTCGCAATATTTGCTGTAAATATTTTCCACGACACTGCTTTCATCGCACATAATGCTAAACTTAACTGAAAACTTAACGAGTGCTATCGACTTTCAACACTATCAACTGTTCAAGTGAGTGTGACAACAAATGACGAAATAAATTAGTTTGCTTGAATCGCGCCAAAATATTGCCGGTTTGGTCATGATTGGGCTTTGTCAGGTAGAAAACCGGTTTTCAGAAAACTTCAAAAACGAAAATATATTTCACAAAAAAAAATAAAAACAATTTGAAATAATTACAAAATACTTTTTTGTTTCAAAAATCCAGAATTTAAAGTTTTAGGATAAAACATTATCCCTGAAATTTTCTTTACAGTATAACTGTACTCAAGGTACTCTATGTACTTCGATCAATAGTTCTCAAATTTCTTATAATACAACTTTTTAACATCTTATCCAAATAGTTTCTTCAATCTTCATTCTAATGGGTAAATGATTAAAGTTAATATTATTTCTGCTTTATTCTTCTATGGTAGTAATAAATTCCCTTTTCGTATCAATGTAGCAAAACTTAGCGTTTAATTCTTAAGATTTAATTTTTCTGAACTAATTTTTCAGATAGAATCCATCATGGTTAAGGTTCTAATGGCTTTAACAAGCTGATATTGAATTGTATAGATCTACTGATACAAAACTATTAGACATGGATTCCCGGATACCTATTTATCAGGTTCGTTGATTCTTTTTGCAGGAAGTACAATAAATTCAGTTCTTTCATAGGGGTGCATTTAGTTTGTTGTCGGAGGGGGGGGGAGGGGTAGTTAACTTTTTTCAAATTTCTAGGGGGGCTCAGCAGTCAGCACCTTAGATTGTACTGATCTGGGGGGGCTGAGCCCCCACAGCCCAACTGCCCCCATGCCCTGAGAAGGCCTTTTACTATGCTCTAGTTGGGGGGAGGAGGGGGGGATATTGTAGGTTTAATACCCCCCTGGGAACCGTTAAGTTTTCACTTAACCAGGGTGGGGGGATGGGGTTTAGTCCCCATAGCCCCTCTGCTGTGCGCCCTTGTTCAGACATATTATATTTATTGTAGGATTACCCTGATTATGATATGGGTGAAGATGAATTTGCAGAACCTGAGTTTTATGTAGATCAATTCTACCCCCCGCAGGTAATTGAATTTAATCAAAAATAGGTTTTATTTAGGAAATTGCCAAGAAATTAAAAATTTAAATGATTGTTAGGCAAAAGAAATGAATTTCTGGCATAAACTTTAGGAACGAGAGAAACAGTTGAAATTATTTATTTCCTCAAAGTTTCGAAANCGTAAGCCGCCCCTGAATCTCGATCAAATTTTATTTATTTTTATCTTGGAACATGCTTTACTCTAGGAGGAATATGAAGAGCTTGAAGACGGAGGGGGTTTAGCCCCCTTCTCTTTGGCAGAGATACTAGAGCACTGTATAGAACCTACCGTCACAGATGGATTAAAGCATATGAGTAAGGTATGCATTTTAATCTAAGAATTCAGTTTTGTAAGTCCAGAGACCGAATTTAATGAAAAAGAGCTAGGTCGCTGAACTTCCTGCCGCTCTCCAATTCATACAGTTCGGTTCCTAAAACCAGATTTTTTAAATATCCAGACATATAGTTAAACTGTGTAAGTCGACAAGGTTGAACTACCTCTTTTTAGCTTGACCCTGCAGGCACAAAAGAAGTTGTTCAGCTACAGTGAGATCCAGAAAACTGAGGAATAGGAAGACGACATTATTGCAAGTGTATTCAATGTTAATACAAATCAAATAATTTTATTAAATGTGTATCATGTTCCGATGACCTTTTATAGTCATAATTTTAGTCTGAAAGTCATCTTCCAATTCCAGAGTTTTCTGGGTCTTACTCTACGTCAATGTGGTTCAACTATGTCTCACTATTCTACTAATCTGGTCCAAGTGCTTACTCTACGTCTATGTGGTTCAACTATGTCTCACTATTCTACAAATCTGGTCCAAGTGCTTAGTATCTACTCCATTTTAATGCGGATCCGGATCTGGATTTTTTCCAATTTCATATTTTCTGTTTTTTAAAGAACCGAAATTGTTTCTGAGGTGTTGTATTTTCTATTTATTTTTCGCAACTTGATGAACCATTTTAAAATCATGGAGGGGTTTTACAAATCTTTCATTAGTTGACATTTAAGATATGTGTTTTGAGACTTAGTGTTGATATTTTCCCCATTTGATCCTGATTCGGGCCCTGACCTCGATTCAAGCAATGTTTTTTACTCAACACACAGAAAATTGATCATTCAGAATTATGTTATCTAGATTTTGATGTGGAGTTTAATATTTCGAATTAGTACACAGTTAATGGATATTCCTCCTTGGACTAAACATGCAACCAGGCATTCATTCTTATTCATTCTCATTCATTCGCATTCATTTTAATTCATTCTCATCCATTTTCATTAATATAAAATCATTTAAATTTATTCTGATTCATTCTGAATCTGATTCATTCTCATTTATTTAAATTCATTCTCATTCATTTAAATTCATCCTCATTCATTCTTATTCATTCTCATTCATTTTTATTCATTCTCATTTATTATTTTTTATTTTCATCTATTCATTCTTATTCATTATTATCTATCCAAGCCATTATTATCCATATATTCTCGTTCAATACTATCCATCTTTCTTCAGTCATCGTTTTGCATTCATTCTCGTACAACTTTTTTATTCGTTATCCTACTTTTAACATTTATAATTATCCTTTCATTCTTACTCATTCTCATTCATTATTAATTGTTGTTAATTTTAAATGTCCTGACTTGTTGTGATTTATTCTTTTTGATCTCTTATTAATTAGTTCCTAGTCCTCATTACCAATTAGTCCTGATTCGTCTTCAGCTTCCTTTTTGTCATTAAATAATGTCTTTTAGACTCATGGTCCTCAAAACTCATTAACCCCTTGATTGTTTTATTTCAACTTTCTATTGGGAACTTGGTAGAACCACGAATGTTCTTAGGTTGGTTAAGAAATTCTAAGTTGAGTGGGTTTACGTTCTCAGGGAAAGTTTATTTTCCAGACAAAGCTAAATAGTGTTGTATAAGAATGAGTTGTTTAACTAGTATTGTGACCGGAACCATCTTAGCGTCTAATTTCTTCTCCGAGTCTGTATTCTATTTGCTGGTGCTGATAACTCTGAGTTACCCCGTCCTTGTGATCTTATCCTCGTCTAGAGGACCCATCCTTGCTCTACTAGTCATATCCTTCAATATAGGTAAACCAAGACGAGTAGATTTGTTGACTCGTATTCAAGGGGGGGCTATGGGGGCTAAGCCAGTGAAATCTATTGATTTCAGGGGGTTTTCAGGCCCCAACGGGTGCACAGTCCCCTGGAAAGAAAAAAATTAAACCCCCCTGGAAAAATTCATGATTTGTTCCCAGACATCACAGCTCCCTCTGTTAAAACAAGGAAAAACTAGGGTTTTTTTTATGGGTAAATAGATAAATTTTGGGTAAAAAATATCTAAAAGGGATCACACCCTAAAAGGAAATTGCCAGATGTATCGGTTATAATTTTTCCCAAAATCTTCGTAAAATACCCCCCCCCCCCCGCATGAATTAAAAAAATTGCTCTTTTTTCGTCTAAAGTTTTCTATTACATTTGATAATTTTTTTAAAAACAAATCCCCCTTCTTCTAAACCCTGATCTATTCCAGGATGTGAGAAGTTTGTAGCTGACCCAGTATCCTGGCATATGGTTCGGGGAGCCATCATGATCTGCTCAATGAAAATTATCTCCGTTGGTTTTGATCTAGATGAGTCGGACCGCAAAAAAGATTCTAATCCTGAAAGTAAAGATCTCAAATCTGAACCTGCTCCTGGTGATAAAAAGAACAGAGACAAGAGCGCAGTTAGGTTCAGGACGGAGAAGAAGAACGGGATGAAAACTGAACCTGAAACTGAGAAGAAGGAGTTAGGAAATGAGGGTTTAATATCTCTACCAGGATGGTTTGAATTTGCAGGTCAAGTTGTTATTGCCGCAGATAAAACGAAATTTTGTATATTTTTTATAATTTCCTCTATCTTAGTTTCAACATTGTTTCACACACAAGTTTGACGGTGCACCCGACACCGGCATTGCGAATACGACTTTTGATGCATACAGTGGTCGCCCTCAATGGATGATATCACTTGGAACCGCTTTAAATCTAGCAATCTAAATTTGGTTTTCTGTCCTAAATACTCCCTTTAATGTCAAATCAAATGAGTTGGCCAAAAATAAAAACAGGATTGCAGGGGACGAGAAATAAATAAAGTTTTATTCATATTTGATAAGAAATTAATTATTGAAGATAAAGCAATATGACGAATTCTGGAAGGAAAAGCTCCGAAGATACAATTCCATATGGCAATTCCGGATATGCGATGAAATTGGTCTCTTTGTCTTAGACGCTGTAGGTTGCTAAGGGGGAGGGGGGGGGGGCGGGGGGCGAGCTCAGCGGCTGAAAGTTGTTTAATCAGAATTGTTTTCTCCGTAAATTGTCTTTCCGGTGGTTGTCTCTCTAGGAATCAGAGATAAAATAGATCTGTGTTTAGGATACTGTCTGTGTCCTGGAACTGTTGTCCTGGGCCCCTGGTTACCCTTCCAGGAATATCAGAATATATTCATCAAACCTAGGAATAAACAATTTGACAATCCAGTCTTTTCGTCTGTCCATGGCGCTCACCCTTCTCCAACTAGGGGCGGCGTTCAGGTCTCTTTTCTGATATTCCTGAAATATCACGGGGATTTAACAACCCGGTCATTATCCCCGATCCCAATATGACAGTAAAAAACTCAAAAAATACAACTATATAAGCTGAATTTTCGACGAAACATATTTAAATTATAGAAGAAACAGAACGCATCTCATCCTTAGTCCATGGTGACATGGGGGGTGCAAAAATTATGACGTTTTTTACAGCAGTTTTGTTAAACGTATCTGAACCCTGAATAAATAGATTTTATATAATTTTTTCCCGTTTTTCATTTTAATTTATATTATATTAAAGAAAATTTGTTCACCTTCTAACATTATTCATTTCATGAATTTTTTCTGATGTTGAAATAAATTGTCTAAATGTATAGATGGAATTTAAACTGGTTTATCAAAATTCTTTTCACTGTGTTCTTCTCCTTCATGTTTCTAACCATAAGGTAACCCCAACATACTCGGCGTACACAAAACATCAAAATTATTTTTATCAAAAGTATTATAATCAGAAGATTGTTTGTAAACATAAAGGGACTGTCAACGTAGTTTTAAATTACCCTGTAGTAGAGTTACATGCCGAATTCCTAATAGAACACTTAATACCTTCTTAAATTTTATCTAGAACTATCTTATTTACCCGGGAAACAAAAAGAAATATATATTTATTTTTTTGTAAAAAAAATATTAAATTTTTGGGCAACTAGTATAAAAAGAATGGAAAACCTATATATGATGTTAAGTTTTTATTTGTTTCCCCAAAAATCTTTGAGGATTATTTTTCCCTCCTAGGCACCTCACCCCGTAAATATTTAAAAAAAATATTAGTCAAGAAAATATATTCCCCTGTTTTAGTACCTGCTGGAACCCCTGGTTAATCCCTGACTCTGGGTGGAAGTGGTGGTTAGCTTACAGGGACGCCATGAGCTTCAGGGCCTCACACTACTTCGTCAGCTTCATTTCGGAGGCCAGCGCTATAACTGCTGGATTCGGGGCATCCAAGGTGAAGTATGTATTGGGTTTAATTAAATAAATATTTTTAAAAAGTCGCATACTAATCCAAAAATAAATGTCAATCTTATACCCATCACCCCAACCCACAAAAAAAATTTGGGAGAATTATTTATGTAGCTGAATAATTTTAAAGGGACAATAGTCATACTATCAAGTAAACCTGAAGTTATAGAAAGAATGATACCCCTGCCCTGTATCTAGGGTTTAGTATATACCCAGCCCTACCCCCTGTATCTAGGGTTTAGTATAACTACCCACTGGTCAGGAATGAATGAGTAAATCAATGTATAATTCTCTAAAAATTCATTATTTTCAATTATGGTTTCATTACAAAACATTTTTTGTAATTAGTATTTATTAGTATCTATTCGTATTATTAGTATTCCAATTTAAAGTAAAAAAAAAACTTATCTAGACCGGTGGGAGTACACAGTGGCAGGTTCAAGTGACACAGCCTCACAATATCGAGGTTCCGCGGTCTCTGGTCGAGGTCGTTGTTTCCTGGAATATACCGATGCATGCTTGGCTTAAGAAGTATGTTTTCAAACCAACTCGAAAAACATTAGGTAAAACAAAACAAATATTTTTGCTTTTTTTAAATCTTTTGATCCCTGTTCGGAAAAATAATTAAGTTTTAGAGGGAAAAATAACATTTTTGGTAAAAAGTATGAAAGAGTTAAAAAATGTTTGCAAACCAGTTTTAATAATTTTCCCAGTATTGAGTTTGTTTTTAAACACAAAAGATCTATATACAGGGTTACTCACAAAGAATGAGACTTAAGCGACGACTACAGAATTTATTCAGACTTTTGATTTATATTCTTTATTTATTCCCTGCAGCTGTAAACTTGTTAAATTCATTGTGAAATCATGTTATTTATCTTTTGAATAATATATTCAAGACGAATGACCAATGTCAACCTTCAGATCGTCACATTTAATAATATTTTGGTCGTCTTGGATTCTAATCTTTTTTTGGTAACTCTATATTTAAAGATATTCTATGTAATTTTAAAAAAAGAGAATTTATATTTTGTTAAATTTAAAGGAAACGGAGCTGCACTGTTTGCTACGTATGCTGCTAGTACTCTTCTTCATGGTTTATCTGCTCAACTAGCTGCTGTTCTCTTCTCCTTGGGTCTTTATACTTGGGTAGAACATAGTTTTAGGTAAACATACTTTTCTCCTTGGGTCTATATACCTGGGTAGAACATAGTTTTTGCTAGGTAAACATACTTTTCTCCTTGGGTCTTTATACCTGGGTAGAACATAGTTTTAGGTAAACATACTTTTCTCCTTGGGTCTATATACCTGGGTAGAACATAGTTATAGGTAAACATACTTTTCTCCTTGGGTCTTTATACCTGGGTAGAACATAGTTTTAGGTAAATATACTTTTCCCCTTGGGTCTTTATACCTGGGTAGAACATAGTTTTAGGTAAACATACTTTTCCCTATGGGTCTTTTTACCTGGGTAGAACATAGGTTTAGGTAAATATACTTTTCCCCTTGGGTCTTTATACCTGGATAGAACATAGTTTCGGGTAAACAAACTTTTCCCCTTGGGTCTGTATACCTGGATAGAACATAGTTTTAGGTAAATATACTTTTCCCTATGGGTCTTCTTACTTTGGAAGAACATAGTTTTAGGTAAATAAACCTTCCTATGGGGTCATTATAAATATGGGTAGAACATAGTTTCAGGTAAGTATACTTTGCCCTCTGTAGAGAAATTAAATTAATACTGTTTTGTACAGGGGTAAAGTGGCAAGAATTATGAATGCAAGTTTAGAAACAAGAAGAGATACAGAAAACAAATTCAAAGTAAGTTTTGTTTAATTAAAAAAAAATTTATATTTGATAAGCCCGTTTTTAAGGACATCGTAAAAGTATTATCGATATAAATACTTAACCCGTTAACTAACATTTTATTTGACACAAAGTAAAATTAATTTAAATGATTTTTTTTCAAGCACCGGGAAGGGACCACGTGGGTTATCCTGGTGAACCTGATGTTCGGGTTCCTTACGATGTTCCACCTGGCCTACCTCGGGGTCATGTTCAACCAGACCGAGGAGAGTGTGACGGGGTACTCCTGGTTCCATACACTAAATAAGTGGAAAAATCTAGATTTTATCAGTCATTATATTGTCGGGGGTGTTCTCCTGGTTAACTGGGTTCTGTAGAGTACTAGTAAACTGTATATATACTCTTCAGACTGTGTTCACAACTTGTTTGTGCTGTACACTGACTGTACAGTGTATATTAAAACCTATTTTATACATCATGTTTCAAGATTTATTAGTTAATATTCGTAAAACTTCTGTAAATCTTCTTTTCCCTTATCTAAGGTTCCAGATTTTCTACATTAACAAGAATTGACATTCTTGTTGGTGTTTTGATGTTTGTTAACTGAAAATGTCCCCTTCCCCAAATTATTTTTTTCTAGCTTTTTGTTATGAAACTTTTTTCTACAAAATTATGAGAATTCCATACAAAAAAATTAAGATGTGTTGTATCCTACTTCCTGATGAATCTTTAAAGATAATAATTATTAAGTTTTTTGCTGAAAATTTTAATTTTCAATCCTTGAGCAACCCATTTTTGCTGTAAGCGTGATTTACAACGGTACCCTTGAAACCTTATTCTGATCAAAATGGGGATTATACTGCCGTTTTCCTGACTCGAAAGTGTTTAATTCTGATAATTTCTCCATTGCTTCTTATAAGCAAGATATGCACAAGTCACTTTGGCAGAGAAACCGCAAATGAAAATACAAAACTTGGATTTCTAATTCATACTTGATAAGATAAAGCCTTTAACCGTGCTGTTGTAAATCGGACATTGTCATCTTTGCATGGAGATCTCTTGAAATTACGCTTACAGTCCCTTAAATGGAAAATTTGTTTTTGTCAAAATCAAAAATAGTTTTATTAAAGAAAATATTTAAAACAATTTTTGATCTCTCGCATTTGGAACTTTTTCTTTTTTTCTTTTTTTGTTTAGTAACATACATTTGAATATTTACTGATAATTCTTAACGGTGCTAACCTTGAAATCTCTGTCTATGACCGACGCCAGTATTTTGATAACTCTTGATTTTTGAAAAGTTTATCAATGTTTATTGTTTATCATAATATTATTATCCATTAAAAATTAAGTTCTTAAACAGCTTTGATAGCATAATATACAACTTAAATAGCCTACCGGAATTATTACGAATAATATTTACTTTTCACCCAGAAATCATTTGTTTAGAGTTACCTGCTAATTCCTGGCTCACTGCTGTTGTACATTTGTTTTCATCTTTGCAGATAATTACCTACATGCAATTAAGTGCAATTAAGTGCAATTCCATCAGATCGTTAACAATTGAAATTGCGGTGAGGATTTTGATATAACGCGTTCTTAACAAAAATACTCTTTCAATGATCTTATGTATTCATTTACCTTTGGGAATTTTATATTCGCTTCAAACTCTGATTTTCTAATCATTTCAGCTTTGTAGCCTTATGTCGTAAACTTTTTATATATCCACAGATCAGGTAATCATAGATGGATCATTGACGCGTACCGGTATATCTAGCCAGTCAGTTGCATGTCTAGTCTCAGTAATTTGTAAATACAAAAATTTGCTATTTTAAAAGAACGTTGCGGCACGTATGAACATGTCAGACGCCCTGCACGCGTCGTCAACCCGGATTTATCTACCTAATCTGTGGATATATCAAACTATGAATTTGCTCGACCAAATAGTCGAAGTTTGGAAGTTTTTAAGTCCGTTTTGAAAAGTTCAGGATCTTTTCAAATCGATTTTACCTCCTTTTCTAAATTATTTTATCTATTCTTTCCCAAACGATTTTACCTTTTCTGTTCTCAACGATTTTGCCTATAGTTTTCTGAACGATTTTACCTATCCTTTTCTCAACGATTTTGCCTATCGTTTTCCAAAAGATTTTACATATTTTCTAAAAGATTTTACCTATCGTTTTTCAAACGATTTTATCTATCTTTTTTTCTAAACGATTTTACTGTCCTTTTCATATCAATTTTACCTATCATTTTCAAACGCTTTTACCTATCTTTTTCTAAACGATTTTAACAATCATTTTCTAAATGATTTTACCTATTCTTTTCTAAACGATTTTACCTATCCTTTTCTTAAGGATTTTACCTATCCTTTTTTAAACAACTTTAGCGATCGTTTTATCTTTTGTCCAAGTAAAAATTTTGCTTAATTTAATAAATCAAAATTAAAAAACATCTTAGATTCTTGTAAAGCCTCTAAAAGTATTAAAAAAAACTATTTTTTTAAACAGGCCTCAAAAGGATGCCTATCCGAAAATTTAAATGGTTTACATTGGAATAAATTAAAGTTTGTGGTGATTTATCAGTTCATTTGTTTAATGTATGCTTAACTCCAGTGCTTAGGATCCGGATCCTTTGGATCTGCAAGATTTTGGCTTCTTTGATCAGGATCTGCATAAATATTCAGATGATTCACGGATCCGGATTCAAGGGTTAAAATCTCAACCAAAAACTTCCAAATAAAGATACTTTTTTTTGCTCTCAAAACGCAAATCTGAACGGTTGAAAAAAGAAAGTGTGAAAATTTCCTGATCTCTGAGTAGGTTATCAAGATTTAGCATAAGAATAAGGGGAAAATAGAAGAATAATGATTTGACAATTCTGCTTTGTTAACAGAATTCTGTTAACCTTCTAGAAATGTTCAGGATTTGGATCTGCATCACAATTAAATGGATCCTAAGCACTGCTAAATGCTACTGATACGAGACTGTTATTATAATTATCACTTGTTTAAAAATGAAAAATGAAAATGTTAGAAAAGAATCTCTGCAGAGTAAGGTTTAAGAAATCAATGGTTCTGAATAAAAATATGATTATCAACAAAATAATTTATATAATGAGTTGTATTTTAAATTTTTATGTTCATGTTTTATGCTACAGAAATTTATAATGTTAGTTCTTGAAGCACTTCAATCTAATTATTACAATGCAGGTTTCGCAAAAAGGTAAAGCATGACCAAATATCAAGTATACGACCAGATGCACTGAACAATCTTAAAGCTCGGGGGCTCGAGATTTAATTTGAGACGGTTCAACAACGTATTTTGAATCTGTCATTCAAGATTTGTCCATGTACAAGATGCTGTATAAGTTGGTCAGGTCGTGATATATAAAGGTCTAAGTCTCATCTGATTCCATTCTCATCCCTAGCATGAACCCTTCTCATCCCTAACATGAACCCTTCTCATCCCTAACATGAACCCTTCTCATCTCTAACTTGAACCCTTCTCATCCCTAATATGAACCCTTCTCATCTCTAACTTGAACCCTTCTCATCTCTAACATGAACCCTTTATGTGTGACCTGAACCCTACTCATCTTTAACCTGAACCTTACTTACTTACTCATCTCTAACCTGAACCTTACTCATCTCTAACCTGAACCCTTCTCATCTCTAACCTAAACCTTACTCATCTCTAACCTGAACCTTACTCATCTCTGACCTGAACCTTACTCATCTCTAACATTAACCCTACTCATCTCTAACCTGAACCCTATTCATCTCTAACCTGAACCCTTCTCATCTCTAACCTGAACCCTTCTCATCTCTTACCTGAACCTTACTCATCTCTAACGTGAACCCTACTCATCTCTAACCTGAACCCTACTCTTCTCTAACCTGAACCCTACTCATCTCTAACCTGAACACTACTCATCTCTAACCTGAACCCTACTCATCTCTAACCTGAACCCTATTCATCTCTAACCTGAACCTTACTCATCTCTGACCTGAACCTTACTCATCTCTAACATTAACCCTACTCATCTCTAACCTGAACACTACTCATCTCTAACCTGAACCCTACTCATCTCTAACCTGAACCCTATTCATCTCTAACCTGAACCCTACTCATCTCTAACCTGAACCCTATTTATCTCTAACCTGAACCTTATTCATTTCTAACCTGAACCCTATTTATCTCTAACCTGAACCTTATTCATCTCTAACCTGAACACTACTCATCTCTAACCTGGACCCTACTAATTTCCCTATAAGGTCTGTCTGACTGGAGTTACAGATTTTTTTGTAAAGCTATTTTGCCTTCAACCGCTGGAAATGCAAGTCTTAATCATAGTTTTTACCTGCCATCGTAAAAAATTACACATTTTTAAAATAATTTTTCTGCCTTCAACTGCTGTTAACACTCATTTTCATTGCTTACAAATATATGTTAAAACAAGAAACCCAGCAGTTGGACCGGTTGAGGGCATAAATATATATATCTATAAAGAAAATAATTTTAGAGGTTAAATCAATTTTTAATTAGAGAAATAAAAAGTTGCATTTCTTATTCTGAATTACGTCGTAGGGTCTTAGACCTCAACCACTGCACTGGCTGCTAAGTTTATTCTTCTCTAAAGTAAATATTATTACTATCTAATGTAAAAGTGTTTCCCTTATGGATTGCTTACTCGCAATACATCAAATTGGGCCTACGTGGTACAAAGGTTTTTTAACTCATGTTTTAAGTTTAAATAGAAGATTTTTTTACAATTTTTAAGAGATTCGAAAAAATGGAGAATATGAGAAACTAAATAACATATATTTCAAACATTGATAATATTGATATACACAAAACTGCCTAAACCCATCCTTGAAACCCGGGTTCCAAAACTGGTTTTCATAACGATACCTTGTCTTAAGTTTTGAGGCTCTGCTGTGTTTGAGTAATTGTCTTAGCTGACCTTCATAAAAAACCTCAAAAAAAGAATAGTTTCTAAAACGTGGCTCACTCCCCCAACATTTGAGGTACACATGAATATTTACCTTGATTGAATATTAAAAATTGAAAACTGGATTGTTACTGTTCGTAAACTATGCCACACAACTCAAATTTTAGTTCAGCCGAAGAAGGTTGAACCCTAAAACTGCTCGTACTTTTTATTTATACATATATTTATGTGTATAAAGCTGAATTATATTTACATAACACTTTTTTCTTATTATTTCTGATTAGACAATTATCAGGGATGGGGATTATATAATGTTAGACATGATAAACTTAACTATAGATGCTTCTATATTTTATCTATACTTTGAACATCATGGTAAAAACCTTAATCGCTCTTTCCCAATATTTCAATAATTTTACATTCCGCATATTGTTTTAAAAAGTGCTGGAAATCCTGAAAAGAAGAAGGACCTTTCATGTCTTTAGTAGTATAAATATGTGGTTAATCCTCAGAATATATATTTATATATTCTGAGGATTAATCTATACATTTTGTGACGGGTTTAATACTTCACTTAGTGGCAGATTTTGTTCACTAAGAAACTATTTAAGGCAAAGGAATTGAGTCTTAGCAACAAACTCTGATTTTCATATTTCTACATCTTTGCAACCCAATGGCTTAGACCTGAGATATTTCAAACAATGAATTCTGTTAGCTCAAATAATAAAAGTTTGAAATATCAAAGCTTCACACCATCAGGTTTCAAATTTAAGGGGTTAGGAAATTTGAGTTTGTGGCAAAAAATCAACTCCTTTTATGGACTTAGATAAGATTTGTTGCAGATTTTATGGAAAAGTTAATATTTGTGGCAGATTTTGACTATTAAAAAAAAACAATGCTATTTTTGACAGTTTGGCAAATTTTTTGGATTTTCGATTCTTTTTTCAAGGTCGATTTTTAGACTAAAATGCCATTTTTGCCATATTTTATGAACTAAAATACTATTTTTGGCCAAATTAATGTGCTCAAATATTGCTTAGTGGCATTTTTGGGTAAACAATTTACAATGTTCATTGTTCACCCAGTCTAATCCTGGATGAACTATGAATTTATTAGTTGTACTGTTGCTTAGTAACATTATGGAATTTGAGTCTTAGCCACAAACTCTGACCTTGGATATTTCTAAAAATGAATTTTGTAAGATCAAATGATCTAAGTTTAAAATATCAAGGGTTTACACCTTCCGGTTGCAAAGATATAGAGATTAGAAAATTTGAGTTTGAGGCAAAGATATATTCCTATATGTCAGATTTCAGATCTAAGTACGTTAACTTTATTTACAAAATTATATTAATTTGATTTTACATATTTACAGAATTACTTAAAGCTAGCTAGGATAGACTAGTAGAAATGCCTGGCACATGAGAGCTTCTATTCTGCTTGTGTCTGGGTTGACCAGCTTGTATTTAATAAAAACCAGGTAAACAATACACCCAACCACCAGGAATACAATGGGAACTAAGATCAGTTCTGTTATCCCCTGAATAAATGTTATGATCAGAGGTGAGAATTCATGAATTGCAAGAAGAAAGTTATATAAGAAGAATCAAAAATTGTTTTTTTCAAATGCATATCTTTGGGCGGTTAATGATATTTTTTAGTAATGCCTTTCTATTCAACATATCTTTGCAGCAATCAAATAGTTAAAACAGTTCAGGATTTTTTAAAAACATGAAATTGTTAAAAAAGATTACCAGAAATAGCTAAGATATACTGAATATGAACTTGTGTTTCGACATCCTTGCAATCATCAAATGTTGCAGACAATTTTGGCATTTTGTTGGGACGGGTGAAAAAAAAGTAAAAATTGATATTTTAATGGCGGGGCTCTAAAAGAAAGACAGTTAAAGATATGCATCCTGAGGTTTCGATATTATTACATAGCTGGTAGCTAGGTTTTGTGTAACGTAATAATGAGATAATTACACAGTGATCCAGAGGAAGCCAGCTCTTACACAAAAACCGATAAGAATTTTGCAACAGTTGAAAATAAAGACCAAGACGTTGCGACACAGTCTTGAAACCTTTTCCTACCAGTCTGGATTTATGTGATTAGTTTATAAAACAGAGAAAACCTTACCTTTAGAAAAGAGGCAACTAATATTGCAAGCACAAACACAAAATAGACGACTTTAATCAGAAACATTTAATACTTATAGTTTTAATATTAATAGTGAGAAATTTAATATTTATAGTAAGAAATTTAATATTTATAGTGAGATATTTAATATTTATAGTGAGAAATTTAATATTTATAGTGAGAAATCAGAAAGGTAATTTTTCGTCGAATTAAGAACATAAACTTGAGTTTCAATATTAAAAGTACAAACAGTTCTGGAATAATATAGAACATCTATAATGGATATGTTTTACCATCTATAGCTGTCAACGCGCCATTTTTATTTGGGCATGGAATTCACTGTAATCTGTATATATAAAAAATAGTAATCTCTGTTTGTCTGTCTGTTTGTTTGTCCGATTATAACTCAGAAACCCCTGGACCGATTTGCCTAAAACTATAAATTGAAATATCAAAGGTTTACATCATCAGGTTGCAAAGATTTAGGGGTTAGAAAACTCGAGTTTGTGGCAAGTTCTCTATTCCTTTCTCCACTTTTTAAAGGTCGCATAGCATATCTTTAAATAGATAGATTTTATGTATTTAATAGTTCTGCCTGGGAGTAAAACATTGACTTGAAAATATTCTCTTCGCACATTTCTCATCCTAAATAATGATATGATACGTTACGGAGAAATTAGTGCAGTTTTCTCTTTTTTATTTTTTGATGTTATTCTAGCCTAAAAAACAGATTGGAACTTATTTCCGTCTCACATTTGACGAGGGTTTCCAGCAAACGAAAACTTTAGTGAAAAAAATTGCGAAAATTTTCTTTCGTATTACGCCAACTCTTTGGCGAAATGTTGCATTTTTTCGTGAATTATTGCGTTTTTTTCGAGAAATTTTCGACACATTTGAAGTTATGCTTAATTGTTTTAGAAATCCTAGCAATTTGTACTTAATAATACATGAATGACTTATTTCCAAATGGTATTTTTTCTTGAATTAAAATGTAATTCACAAATGAACGTTTCCCTATACTAATGTGGTAGGCGATAATATCAATACAATGAAGACTACTTTCGATTTAAATTTTGATTTATATCAAGCTGTTAAACAACTGGATACATATAAACATTAAGGTCAAGAGGAGCTGTCAATTAAAAGAGCGTCTTTTTGATTACTTGTAAACTTGTAATTAGAAAAAAAAACTTCTAAACAATCAAAACTTGAATAAAAAAGTCGTCTTCATTGTATTGGTATAATCGCTAACTCTGTATAATGCAGAAAATATTTATTTTAAAGTTTTTAGTTAAAAACCTGGGTTTCCAACATGATCAATTTAATTTTTGTAAAGGTATTAAAATTTGTAAAAATCTTTCTTTGAAATTCTGAATAAAATCTGCATATTTTTTAAATTTTATTCAATCCTAATTATATACAATATATTTTTTACTAAGGTTCCAGGAATAGGAATATAAAAACTTACAGGCTGAGGTTTTTCGATCTAGAAGCTAATCTAATTATATTCAGGATGTGCCACACATTATATTGGATCCTTAATGGCTCTAAATTACGATTTTTGGAACTAATCAGAAAATTTAAGAAGAATGAATCATTTTGAAATATAACAATTTGCAGGTTTTTCGAATATTATGAAAGTATTTTGGCGTTAAAGTTAAAGCTTGAAGATAATCCAATATGATATCTGAAGATGTTCGGCTTGTCATTTGGTTTGTGTGACCCTAGGGAAAGTACTTCGGAAATTAAAAAATTTTGCCTCAACATAATTTATAGTTGTCAAAAAATTTGGAAGAAATGTTCACAATTAAAACCAGAAAATTCGCAAAATTTTACCTCATTAGTCTTCCTACAAAATTATTTCTTTCGTCGGGTCATGTGAGGTCAAACTGGTTTTGTTTGGCCCGATCTGTTTTGCTGTTTTAACACTAATAAACCATTGTAATTGTGTCCAAATACCTGTACTTAAGGAAGAAGAGACTGAGTATTACAAGAAGATCTAGAGCTATGCTTACAAATACAAATAGTCCAAGAAGAACTCCAATGCTAAAGAAAAATTTCACATTAAAAAAATAGGAAAAGGAAAATGGACAAAATTCTTTAGTGGATGAACACGTGTTTTGTTTTATACTTGAACACTCGCCACAAACTCTAATTTTCTAATCACTTTACTTTTGCAACCTGATGTATATTGGATACTACAAATATAATTCATACTTAATGGTGCATTAAAGATATAGGGGTTAAACAATTAGAATTTGTGTCAAGTGTTCCTTCCTATAAGTAGTTTTATCAAAACGTTATTAAAATTAAAGAAAGATGGGATTTAAAATTTAATTGAAAGGAGAATACAATCTATACCTTTCAGTGATGACAATAAATATTAGACTGAGAATCATATTAGTCGCCTAAATAAATAATCCATGTATTGAATATTTTATTAGTATTTATTATATTTGTTGCATCATAAGGTGTTTAAAGTAAATACAGGTTGTCCCACGAAACATGTCAGTTGATAAATAGTTTTAAATGTCGTCTTTAACATGCTGTATTATGATATTAAAGGCTTTTTGCAGTTTATTTCGTTAAAAACATCTTTTGATAAAATTAATTTTTGAAATCAATTTTAATATAATATGACTCCCATAAACTTTTTTATTATTGTCTTTGGTATCAAACAGCTTAACAAATTATGGAAAACTAGAAATTCAAGGCGCTTCGCGCCCTTCTTTCTAGGCTTTTAGGGCGCTTTGCGCCCATCTTCTATTTAAATTCTGAACATGTTCTTTTTGTTTACATCTCAAAACAAAGATGAAAAAAGTTTTGCGGATTTTAAAAAAAAAATTCGCGGATTTTCAAAAATTTAATTTTTTTTACAAAATTAAAAACCTCTAAAACACAAATTTTTAAAATTTCAATCATTCATAAACCTTCCCTGGGGTCCCTAGATGTCCCACAAAAAATTTGGGCCCGATCGGTTCAGCCGTTTTGACGTTTATTGGATACAAACAGACAAACAGACAAGCCAAATTTATATATAGAAGACATTCTAAACTGTTCACCAACTGCCGTGTTTCGTGGGACACGGACAACCTATATCTTTTATCATATTGGTTTAATCTTGAATGGGGGGGGGGCGGGGAGGGGGGAAAAAGTATAGATGTAAGATTCCTTTTTTTGATTTATAATTATTTAGAAAACTTTCTTTTATTCAACAAATACATGGGACATTGAGACATTAGCTCCAAATCGGGTGTGTGTTGAGGGGTGTTGCGTTTAACCTGAGCTGGTGTTGAGGTGTTGAGTCTAACCTCAGCTGGTGTAGAGGTGTTGAGTCTAACCTCAGCTGGTGTAGAGGTGTTGAGTCTAACCTCAGCTGGTGTAGAGGTGTTGAGTCTAACCTCAGCTGGTATAGTATAAGTGTTTAGTTTAACCTGAGCTGGTGTAGAGGTGTTGAGTCTAACCTGAGCTGGTGTAGAGGTGTTGAGTCTAACCTGAGCTTGTGTAGAGGTGTTGAGTCTAACCTGAGCTGGTATAGGAGTGTTGAGTTTCCAATGTAGAAGGGAAAGTGGGCGTGGCAGATCACCCTCTCTAGCTGCAGAAAATATATACCGTCCTGAACCCTAAATATCTATGATGATAATGAATAAATATATTTAGATACAGGGTGTCCCAAAAAACATGGGAATTCAGTGACGAATTCGATATCGTCTTTGTTATGAATTAGCATTGTAATACCTAATTTCAAAAGCCATAATATTATTATGTCTGCTAGAGTTTATTTAATGAAAAGGGTAAAAGACTGCAAAGATGTGTCAATAATGTCTCCGCAAGATGAACAGTGTATACGGACAAGTTTACTCTGTTTGTATACTGTAATTTTCTTGTTTTACTAAGTAATCCGGTTGCAGTCAAAACATAAACAAACAAAATGTAAACATAGCAGACGAAACTCTTACAGATTACAGCTTTCTCAGTAGGTATCACTATACTAAATCAAAGAATTATTTGAAAAGACTATCGAATTCGTCACTGAATTCCCATGTTTTTTGGGACACCCTGTACAAGAACAAAATGTTGGTCAATTAATAGTAAAATATCATACATTGGTAAGATGAAAATTAAAGTTTTGAAATTTTATAGCAATTTTGTAAAATTTTGGAAAATAGATTTTAAAAAGTGAGTGATAAAGTACCATGTCAAATTTTCCCCAACGCTTTCAAAGTTGTTAAAGCATGACTTATCCCTACATAAAATTCAGGTTAATTATAAGTATTAATATTTTTTAAATTTTAAATATTTTTACCAATCCAGTTCCCAAGTATGAACCAAAGAGGGAGAAGAATACAAGGATAGAAAAAGGAACTTCAAGAGAAAATCCAGCTATTTTTGCTGCAAATGTGTTTAAGATAAATGTTGATGATTTCACCTTATAACATTTAAAATCACAATCATTTATAAAAATCTTAATCAAATTGTCTTGTCTGTGTCGATTTTTTTGCATTCTTTGAATCCGGTCAAAAGCCTAATTTTAAATAATACTGAAAAAGTTGAATTATTGGAAACATGTGAATTTGATTTAGTGTTATTGTTTTTTTTAAGAAAAGAATTGTCGCAACCAATTAAATTAAAAATTAAAATTTTATAAGAAAGAGCCCTGAGGAGGCCGAATTTAAAAGTTTAAGCCTCGTCTCAAGTTTGAGACATTGCTCAAACTGGAAATTGTATTCAGTACTTCGAGATTTGAGCCGGCGCTTAATTGGAACCGGTTTTTGGCGGTTCAGCGACGCGGTTTAAATTTCTTTAAATGCGGCCTCTGGAAGCCTTTTGTTTGTAAAATTATCAGTTAAGCTTCCAGAACATAATATTCTACCACCACACTTTGTTTAAATTTTTTTTTTTAAATTTTATTTTATGATTTTAATATTTCCTCTTGTGGTGTTAGTACGATGAAAAAGGACATGTTTGCAAGAACGTACGCAACTATCACTGCAACAACAAGGATGCATGTTAAAGATTACTTTTTATTTTATTTAATGGTTTAAAAGGCTTTTTTTTTTGATTTTTGGAATTGATTTATGTTTGTTCATTTGGGAAAAGTAATTTGTCACAAACTCTGATTATCTAATCCCTACATCTTTGAAAACCAATTTCGTTATAGGCCTTAAATATTTCAGACTTCGAATTCTGTGAAATCAAATAATCTAATAATAATCTAATAAAATCAATGGTTAACAACTTATATATATTGTATATATATTTTCTAATCACTATCTTTGCCATGCAAGATGGTGAAAATATTGACAATTTTATCTAATAACATTCATAGTTTAAAATCAAAAATGTCTTCAGGTTCCAAAGATAAAAGAATTAGAAAGCTGGAATTTGGGGTAAACAATTGGTAAATATCAAGAAAAATTGGACCTTCAAAATTGGGAAAAAAGCACTTTTTGTGATTTGTCAGTATTTAATGCAATCCTTGTTCCTATTCCAACTCCTGTAACAACTGTTATTGGGAAAGTTTTCCTTGGGTTTTTGATTTCTTCTATTACGACAGACAGTGACTGAAACAGAATAAATGATTACCCACTATAAAGATTATAGACTTTAATAAAATCTAGTAAAAAAAGTCTAAAACTTTGAATATTTTAGTTTAATAATATTTACATGATGTTTTTATATCTTAGTCAATTTTAAAGGTTTTCGTTCTTTTTTTGTCATTTTTTTGTGATAACTTTGTAAAAAATGAGACTTATAAAAGACCACCTGATATACTTATTACATGATGATCTAAAGGTTAAATCAAGGTTATAATACAAGGAAAGCTAATTGCAGTTGCGTATACTCTGCGTACATATTGAAACTAGTTCTCTCTGGGCAGAATTTGTAAACAAGAATAGATGCATCAGTGTTCGTTTAGTATCCGAGGAGGTAAAAAGCATTAAATCTTGATAATTTTAATAATTCACATAACAGTTTCCTATGACCAGAATATCTCATTGATTTTTTATGTGAAAGATGGATCCCATGTCAGGCTTCGACATCCGTCTTGTGTTTACATTACCACCCAGAGACAGTACACTGCAGTGCAAAAGATGCGTCTGAATTAACTTTCCTTGCATTAAAACCTTGGGTTAAATTAGATTTTAAATAAAGTCTTTTAATGGCTTATTTAATAATTTGACAAAGAACGAGGCAAGTCTTTGCCACAAATTGTGATTTTCTATTCTCTATATATCTTTACAACATAATGTTCTTAGACCTTAGATATTTCAAACTATAAATTTTGTTAGATTAAACAATCTAAGTTTAAAATATCAAAGATTCCATCATTAGGTTTCAGAGATATAGGGATTTGAAAATCAGAGTTTATGGCAATGACTCAATTCCTTCGGGACCTTAATATTGATATTCCAAAGTTTAAAAGATACAGTTTTTTAGTCTCATTGTACTGTAAATACTATATACCTGCCAGCCTGCGTATGACCAATAACATCCATTGAAAGCTGAAACCCAGTCCGAGGGTTGAGAAGATACTTCTTGAAAAGCTGGAGTTAGACTAATCCGATTTTTCGCCAAATAAACAATCGCCACAATAAAAACTCCAACAATGGTTAAAACCTACAAAAAGTTTTAAGCTATGTCAAAAAGCAATAAAATTTGGTTCATCTTGAAAAATCGTTCCCCCGACATGCTTATTATAGTGTTTATTTGGCTGATTTGTGGAAAATGAATAAATTTTGGGTAAAAGGAATTGATGCTTTGCCACAAACTTTGATTTTCTAATCCCTATATATTTGCTACCCAATGTCGTAGACCTTAGATTTTTCAAACTATGAATACTGTTAGATCTAATACTCTGAGTATAAAATGTCGAAGTTTTACACCATATGGATTAACGATACAATTGGATTAGAAAATTTGAATTTGTGCGCTCAAGAGTCAAGACTCAGTTCTTTGGCGAAACCTTTTCCCCCAGGGAATCATACCGGGAGAGAGGTGACCTTGAACATTAATACCCTTTAAACCCCCCCAGGGAATCAAACCGGGAGAGAGGTGACCTTGAACATTAATACCCTTTAAACCCCCCCAGGGAATCAAACCGGGAGAGAGGTGACCTTGAACATTAATACCCTTTAAAAATCTTAAATCTATCACCTTAATGAAAGTAATTAAGGCATTAAACTTTGTTATAAGTTTTGCGTGGAAGCTGTGAAGCCAGAACATCAATAGAATTAGACAGCAGGCAATAAACTTGGTTGGAACAGTGTTTGTACAGGGCTTTATGGCAATCTGTAATAATAATTGTTCTATTATTCGTTAAAAACTGTTCTTTAATCTAATTTATAGAACTTTAGAATTTGTGGGGAAACCCACAAAGGATAAGACTCTAGAGACGACTGTACGGAATTTATACTGTCTTTTCTTTATATTCATGGTTCCCTGAAACCATAAACTTTTTCTTTCCTTGCTCAATCAATAAGAAGGCTATATATACAAGACAGAAGACTGGCTCAGTAACAACTCACCTAAGTAACATTTCGCCTTATAAAACCAACTCGCCCACATAAAAATTTTGAATTAAATAATTGTAATGTAAATGAAATTATACCAGAAAATCCACGAATCAAAACCAAAAATCCGCAAATACAGTAATTCCACTAAGGGAGTTGTTGTTATATGTCGAAATGTTAAATGGCAAGTTGTTATATGGCGAAATGTTACTTAGGCAAGTTGTTCTATGGCGAAATGTTACTTCGGCGAGGTGTTATATGGCGAAATGTTACTGAGCCCAAAAGACTTAATTCTACCTTTTGTTTTAGGTCGTCTTTACAGTCTCATTTTTTTCTGGATATTGGGTTACCCTGTAGGTATCAAACGAATCCTGATATTTTTTTCTTTAAACTGCACTTTCAGTTCACCTTCCATACCTAGCTAGTCACTCCCTTTAACAAAATTAAGGACAAACAGTGTAAACACTTATTTTCCTCTGGGATATCTAAAAAACTTCCTTTATGCGTGATGGATTTTAAAACAAAATAATTCAAATAATTTAGATTTCTACCTGAACTTGAGTTGCACATGCTATAGTCATTACTGCCTGAGACATTGGATTGAGCATTACTGTTCTTATAACATTTTCCATGTTTTTTTTTCGAAATATCAAGCTTAGAAATATGGAATGAAATATCGAGCTTGAAAATATTAAAAGAATTTTCAAGCGTAGAAATATTGAATAAAATATTAAGCTTGAAAATATTGAATGAAATATTGAAAGAATTTTAAAGCTTAGAAACATTTAATGAAACATCAAGCTTGGAATTATGGAATGAAATATCAAGCTTGAAAATATTGAATAAAATATTTAGCTTGAAAATATTGAAAGAATTTTCAAGCTTAGAAACATTTATTGAATTATCAAGCTTGAAAATATTGAATGAAATATCAAGCTTGAAAATATTAAAAGAATTTTCAAGCTTAGAAACATTTATTGAAATATCAAGCTTGAAAATATTGAATAAAATATTGAGCTTGAAAATATTGAAAGAATTTTCAAGCTTAGAAACATTTATTGAAATATCAAGCTTGAAAATATTGAATGAAATATCAAGCTTGAAAATATTAAAAGAATTTTCAAGCTTAGAAACATTTTTTGAAATATCAAGCTTATAAATATTGAATAAAATATCGAGCTTGAAAATATTAAAAGAATTTTCAAGCTTAGAAACATTTATTGGAATATCAAGCTTGAAAATATTGAATGAAATGTCGAGCTTGAAAATGTTAAAAGAATTTTCAAGCTCAGAAATATTGAATGAAATATTAAGCTTGAAAATATTGAATGAAATATTGAAAGAATTTTAAAGCTTAGAAACATTTAATGAAATATCAAGCTTGGAATTATGGAATGAAATATCAAGCTTGAAAATATTGAATAAAATATCGAGCTTGAAAATATTAAAAGAATTTTCAAGCTTGTAAATATTTAATGAAATATCAAGCTTGTAAATATTTAATGAAATATCAAGCTTGAAAATATTGAAAACTTTATTCATCACACAAAATAATATCTAAATAAAATCACAATGGCGGCGCGCCTTTGATTAAAGTGATTAACTTTATCTCATTCAAAACTGTTCACCTCAAGGTTGAATAATTTAATTATAAATTATGAATATAAATATGGACAAATTTTCCTTGTAAAGACATAAATGAATCCAGGGAAGCATCCTAGTTCCTTCTTTATGTAGATGTATGATCCTCCTTGCCTGGAACAATAACAAAATCATTAGTTTCAAGCTATATTTTTTATTGAGACATGATCCTGCGAAAACAATTATTTTACATCTTATATTGTCGTAAAAATGCAATTTTTTTAGGTTGAAAATTAAATAAACCAGTTTAGTGTTTACAGTTTAAAGAAGAGTAAAAAAATCATTTTACAGGCTTCACCTTGTTTCCATTCAAAACATCTAAAAATCATAGTTACGTGATATATTTGAGACAAGCTAATTATACACTCAAAAATACTTATATCATGAAAGGATAGCGCCATAAAAAGAGTACTTAATGTTTAGTTATGGATAGTTAAACTAATTCATTAGATCCGAACTCTGGTCAAGGGCGTATACAGGGAGGGGGACGCCCCCCCCCCTAGAACTAAGAGCTATCACACTTTTCAAGAGTGAGAGTGAAGAGTATAAAAAATTAGTTTGTTTTTTTCTGCTAGTTTTGTTTGAAGGAGAGATAAAGTAGTACATGTAAGGTAACTGGACTCTATGTGTACCTTTTAAGTATCCAAGGAGCTAAATGTTTTGAATTTATAGTTAAAATTTTGCTCCCCCCAAGGAGGTCCTTGGGGGGGAGGCAAATTTTTTTGCCGCTTCGCGCATATTTGCCCCCCCCCCCCCATAGATTTATTTCTGTGTACGCTCTTGACTCCGGTTAAAATAATAAGGTTTTTAACATAAGGAAATTAAATATTCACATTACTGTGGGAAAATCTTTGAAAACTGAATTAATATTCTTATTTTAATCAACAAAAAAGTATCAACGCAAAAAGAGTTGTTTTCCCCACAAATGTCGTCTTCGTTTCAATTAATCCAACAACCAATATTTGTTCGAAACACAGATAATTTATAATGTGTTTTTCAATTTAAATATTTCAACAAACATCGCCAAGTGTTGTACCATTGATTTGTATGTACAAAATTGTGTTGAGGAGAAGATTAACTGTTGCAGAGAGTTGAACTAATACACAAAACCGGTTTCTATAGTTTATGCACAGAGCTGGGAACTTTTGAATGGTGGATATCGGGATTAATGCTTAATCCACTCTTTTTCTTTATCTCGAGATTAAATAACGCTTGTTCTCCTCTTGTTTTTAATCTCCAGATTAATTAACCGATCGGGATGAAGGATATCCCATTCTAAAGTTTTCAGCTCAGTTGTCCTAACTATTGCAGAAAGTTGAACTGATGCACTACACCGGTCTCTATAGTTTATGAACAATATCCTAACTGTTTAGATATTGACCTGGGATATGCAGCTGCTAGCTCTGCAAAGCAAAGTGCTCCAACCATTGATAATATCCCAACAATAATCCAGACCAGGATAGCGGGACCCCAAGAGCCAACACTGGGGAATAAAAATAAACATCAAATGCAATTAAGTATTGCTAAAATGTCGTCTTCCTATTCCATTATTTTATGGTTATCTCTTTATATAAGTTTACATGCATGTCATATATAACAACCGGGTATCAGTAGGTATCCTAACAATGTGACACGAGTGTCGTCTTCGTTTTTACTTTTATTTTATAGTTTTGAATTACAAACTGAGATATAAACAACAAACATGGAAGATTTTCTGCTTAAAACAAATATTAGGGACTGTAAGTTTAATTTAAAGTAACCTCCCGTACAAAAATGTCAATGCCTAATATTACAACGGTATCCTTTAAAGTGACCTCCCGTACAAAGCTAGATGTCAATGCCTGATATTATAACAGCATCCTTTAAAGCTTTGTCTGATCAGGCGTGAATTAGATATCACTGTTAATCATTTTAATAACTAATTATTTTGATTTGTGGTTTCTCTACAAAACTAACTTGCGCATTTTTACTGCAGGATAAATATAGAAATTTAAACCTAAAATAAAGGCAGTATCTTCCACATTTTGATCAGGCAAAGTTTTCAAAGGTTACACCGTTATGTATCGTGTATAGCCATACTTTGCATTTATATCTAACTTAAAGATTACAAGATTAGAGTTTGCGCTGAGAATTATGTTTTTGAATAACTATAAAGTAAACGTATCTACCTGATAAATATTTTATTTGAAGTGATATAAATTCCAGAACCAATTATCATTCCGATCAGATAAGAGGTTATCCCAATAAACCCAAACTTTCCCTTTATGGCTAAAAATAATTTGAATATATCTATAATTATTATAATTAATATCAATATTATTACTGAATTATTATTTTTATTATTGTTTACCAGATGTAAGTGCCACCATATTAATCTGAAAATAACTTGTCGTTAATAACCAACAACACTATTCAAAAAGTTTGAGTTCACAACTTTTTTATTTTCGAGTCAGCAAGAAATCGGAAAATAGCTGTAGACTTGATGCATCGGATAGAGAGGCTTTCTTTTTTCACCTTGATATCTATTGATAAATATATGACAGGAATGAGGTATTGTGATGTAAGTAGACTGTTTTCTGCATCACAAGTAACTGTCGACTAAGGTTATAACTGGAATTATTTGCGTTAAATAATTGCTTCTAACCGACACAGCCTAGCTACTTAACTATACTGCATGATGCACAATTAATGCTTGCAGGTGAGATACAGCTTGGGTTATATAATATTGAGACTGCAAACTCACAAGACAGCTCAACCGAAATTAAAAAATTCTAATTTAAATTTTTAAAAATGAGCCCAATTAAGAATTTGTCCAGGGGGGGCTTGATCCCCCGTTAACCCCCCCCCCCCATGAGAACGCCTATGAATTAGCCCCTGGATGTTTGTTTCTTTTCAAAATCTTTTATCTTTTGTTAAAAGACTAAATTAATTATTTATATGATCCTATTACATCAAATAGTTTATTATTATTCAAGTCTTTATTGGGTCTAGGCGATACATGTATTTATACATAATTATGATCACAGATTATCGCATAGAGTTATTCATTTAATCGTATTTAAGATAAGATATAACGAGTGTTACAAAATGAAAAATTAAAAAATTAGTAAAACCAAAAGAAAATTAAAAATTAAAAATTAAGACACAGTTTGAAAAATATTTTTAAACATCCTTGAAGGCGGCAGTACACAACCAACAAAACAATAAAATATAAACTTAGGAACAACTTGTAAACCAAAGAAAAGTAGGATCTGAGTATTATAATTATATGAGATCCTGGCAAATTAGGCATATATGTTAGAACAGTCTATTTTGAGGTTATAATAGGATTAGCGTTTCTCTAAAGAGAATAAATATAAAACTCTTAATCTTTTTGAATGACCATTTTACCAAAGAGAATGTAGATTTCTTAATCCTTTTAATTAGCGTTTCACTAAAGAGAATAAATATATGTCTCTCAATCTTTTAAACAGTGTTTATCAGAGGAAAACAAATTTAAATTTAAATCTCTCAAATCTACGGCATTTTAGCTAAAATAGCGTTTCACTGAAGAAAGTAAGAATAATTATTATAAATCGACATCGTTTCACCAGATAACCTGTGTTAAAATCGGGTTTTGAGCTCAGTGATGAGGTATCTTACGCTTATTGGAGGAATAGATTTCGTTGTCGATTTTACGTTTATCTTCAATCCTTTCACTTTAGATACTGCAGGGTATAGATCAGTACCGTATCCGGGTGTAATGTTTGGAGGGGGATAGGTCGTGTTTGGAACCTTGAATGCTGATATAGGCAGTTGCCCCGAGATGGAATTTAAAGAATTTGAGCCGCGGTTTAAATCTGCCAAAACCCGGCTTAAATTAAGCGCCGGCTTAAATCATGAAACATTTGATACAATTTTAAGTGGAATCAACCATATTTAAGCCGCGGCTTAAATTTAAACCACCGCTCAAATTCTTTAAATTCGGTCACAGGTCTCGGAAACCTCTGGTACATTAATTAAAAAATAATAATTATATTCAAAAGCTATCAGGATACAATTAGGCACATGCAAGAAATAGGAAGAGGCCAAAGGTAAGTAAAAGAAATGTTTGTTTAATAAAACTCAATTCTATACCGGGGATCATTTAAGTATTCGAGTCTTTTGTCATTCTTGTATGCCATGAAAGTGACGTGAAGCTCAAATTTAAACCAACTGATAAAAGCATTAAGTGATAGGTTACTTTTTTTACACCTGCATTTCCATATAAAATATTTAATGTAGAAAATGAGAAGATTATTCGACGAAAAAATAGGTATGTTCCTAAATCCAAAGATAAAGTCCTTTTTAATAGGTATTAAACGTATATCAGTCCAGTTGGTAATGAATACTTCTGAAATAAATTCTTGCACTAGAGTACATTCATAGAAAAGATGGGATATAGATTCGATTGTAGTCCTACAAAATGTACACTCTTCACTAACTTCTCTGTTGAACTTAGAAACAATCCTGTTGGTTTTAAGTGTGCCTCTTGGTATTTGATATTGAAACCATGTTAGCCTATTATCAAAAAAAATATTTTTATTCAAGTCATAACATTTTTCCCAAAAGAAATTGCCATGAACAGCTTCAAGCTCTTCCTCCCATTTAAGTTATCTGATTTGTAAGTTAGTTCAGAGTAGTTGAGTAGTAAACATCTCTCTGTAAGAGTGTTTTAGGCAGTTTTCACACTGCTTTCTCAATTCAAGGCTTACACACAATTTTAAAGTACATTCATAGAAATCTGGAAGATTCTAGATATAATCTGGCTTTCGCCAATCTTGTGGCGAAAATGGGGCCAAAACCCAAAAAACCTTGGATAATTCTTTAAATACTTCCCTGGAGGAAATGGATAGTGAGACCACTGTAAAGGAACAAGTCAGTCATCAAGGCTTTCTTTATAAAGATTCAAGGCCTGGGAAAATGATTCTAGTTGATGGGATTTTAGGATCAATGTTTTATGCTTTTGATAGAGTTGCTGATAAGACCTGTGTTCTGGATACACTTAGTCGAGAGTTCTCCTTGGAACAGATGAAGAACTCTAGATCAAATTTTTATCAAGCTTTTCAACTGCAGGATACAGAGGGAAATATCCAAGAAAAACGAAAGATATCTACCATTTTTCTAGATCTCTGGGAAAAGATATCGAAAATTGATAAAGCTGGGCATGGAAATGTTGTGGTGACAGTTCCTTTCAATTTCCAAATACCCAAGTTTTTGACAAATAGTGAGTTTAGTGTCAAGGCATTTCAGGACACCTCAAATGCAATGATGGATGAGAGAATGTCAGCAATAGAGAAGAAGATGGAGTTATTGCAATGTATCTGGGATAAGGTCAATGTCAATCCTGTACCAAGTTTTGCTGCAAAATCGTACAGTGCGGTAACTAGAGGTAATGATGATTACAGTGGTACAGGGGCAAGACCAAAGAATCTCACAGTCCCCCTTAGAGCAGGAATAGGTAGAGAAAGATCTCCCAGTGTAAAGAGAGGATTAAATGATGGAATAAACTCTCAAAACAAAAGAAGGAATGTAGGGAAGCCAGTTGTCTCTGGTACAAGAACTCAAGAGAAAATTAGAAAAATTAAATCCCCTCCGGCTGACATTTTCTGTTATGGTATTCCTAAAGGTACCACTAAACAGGATATTGTGGATGACTTAGAAGAAGCTGATATTAAGATAACAGTTGGCGATATTGTGCAGATGTCTAAANTGCTTATTTGCTGAATATGATCTGTTTAAACCTACTACTTTTATACAAAATTGTATATATATTAATTTTTGTATATATTTGACACAGTTTTATATCAGTTTCTCGAGACATGAACATCAGATATGACTTTCATGGGTCGCGATCAAGAGCTAAAGTGATTAGCTTTCAGACTATACCCCCTTTCATTTTTCCTTTACGTTGTCCCTTTAACAGTGCTTCACGTATTACTTGTTTAACTGAAGTATAAGAAAGAAAGTCGGGAAGTTTCCCATATCTATCGTTGAACGTTGGCGTCTGTAAGAAATCTCACTTGTGTTTCACTGTTTATAAGTATATCAGACGGAGTATTAATAAAGCTTCCAACATTATTAAACAAGTTTTTATTACAGATTGCCGACTTCATGACAAATAAACTCGATCCCCAGATTGGATACGAAGAAAAATATTCAGGATCATTTTTCAGGTGCTCCAGCATAAGGGGTTTTATCGAAATTAGGCAATCTTTCCAAAAAGGATTAGGAAATTTCTTGGAAATTCTGTCATATTCAACTGTACCAATAGAAGTGAAAAAGTATGATAATCTATTCCAAATGAGTTCATTAGGTTCAAAGTGAAAATATATTTCCAAGCTGAGCGGCTATTCACCAATCTTAGAAACCATGAGAATCTAAAATCCGTAAAACTAGCATGTATATCTCAGGAAAGCCAAACCCTTTTGAACACAAATAAAGAGAAAGTTGAGAACTTTTTTCGAAAGATATTTCATCAAATTATATGTTTGTTTTGTATCGAAAAGAAATTTTTTATTGCATCGACTGTGATACCAGTTTCAGAGCATTTGTAAGCACTTTGTTTTTAAAGTTCAACTACAGTTAAGAAAATTAACAAATACAAAAACTGTAAAGGCCAAAGAGACTACCTTGCATTTCGCCACAAACTCAAATTTTCTTTTTTTATTAATCTTTGCAACCTGATAATGTAATATTTAAAACTTAAATTATCTAATCTAACAGAATTCATAATTTAAAGCATCTAAGGTCTACGACACTGGGATTGGGTTGCAAAGATATAAGGATTAGAAAATCAGAGTTTCTGGCAAAGGCTCAATTATACCTTTATCTTATTGAAAAAATTTGATATAGATTTAAAGTCAAGTTTAAGGCCGGATATAATCAGGGACGTATTTACAGAATATGTTTTTGAAAATCCTGGGTGAGACTTAAATCATAGTTTTACAGAGGGGAGAAGGGGGGGGGAGACTTAGCCGGTGGGAACTCTTAAACCCCCCCCCCCCCCCCCCTTGTACACGCCCCTAAATATAATATTGAATTTTGAATCTGATCATGAAATTGCTGCATTTTTCAGTGCTTAAATTGAACGCAAGAGAGCTTAAAATAAAGAATTTGTTATGAAACAGAGAAGCAACTTAATTATACATTTTTCAATGCTGAAATGCAAAACAAAATGTGTAACAATGGCTTTTGCCTGCAATATGTCTTAAGAATATGTCTATTACAGAGAGATTCATAAAATCTTGACAATGTGTCTATTACAGGAAAATTTATAAAAGCTTTAGAAAAATATGTCTATTACAGGGACATTTACAAAATCTAAAGAATATGTCTATTACAGGGATATTTATAAAATCTCAAGAATATGTCAATTACAGGGATATTTAAAACATCTCAAGAATATGTCAATTACAGAGAGATTAATAAAATCTTAAGAATATGTCTATTAGTGAGATTTATGAAATCTCAAGAAAATTTCTAAATTACAGGGAGATTAATAAAATCTTAAGAATATGTCTATTACAAGGAGATTAATAACATTTCAAGAATAAGTCTTATAAGGGATATTTATAAAATCTCATAAATGTGTCTATTACAAGGAGATTTAAAAAATCTCAAGAAAATGTCAATTACAAGGAGATTTATGAAATCTCAATAAAATGTCAATTACAAGGAGATTTATGAAATCTTAAGAAAATGTCTATTACAAGGAGATTAATAACATCTCAAGAAAATGTCTATTACAAGGAGATTAATAACATCTCAAGATTGTGTCTTTTGCATGGAGACTTTAAAAATTCCTTTATTTGGCTGTGGTATACTATAGTAGACTATAGTTAACTTTTTGTCAGATTTCAAAAATAAACAAATTTAGTTTTTGGTTGTAAATTGAACTTTCCTTTGTGGGGTGTACCCCTCTGATTTTTAAAAAAATGCATGTGATAATAAGGACTCTCTGTGACCTTTGTAAAGCACAGGAATTGAGTCTTTGCCACAAACTCAAATTTTCTAATCCCTGACTTTTGCAACCGGATGCCCAAAACTTTTGATATTTCAAACTTAGATTATTTGATCTGACAGAATGATTATAGTTTGAAAATCTAAGGTCTAGAAAATCCGAGTTTGTGGCAAAAACTCGATTCCTTTAGCTCCCAGGTTTCTTTTCTTTTCATACCTTTTGGTCTGGATTTAAATAATTCTTTTTGTAATTTCTATTCCTAAAATTCACTTGTCTTTGCAATGCAAGGAGTGAAAGAAGGAGGGGGGTGAAAATGAAAGATTACTCAAAGAAAAGAAGTAAAATAGTGTTATTTGTATTTATCGTCATTCTTAATAAAATGCTGGAAATAGTTTCTTAAAACGTTGATCATAATATTTGTGCCCAGAGTGTCAGGTTTTGGAACATTTAAGAACGGTTCGGAACTTTCTTCCCCTGTATTTATTCCTAAATGTCTGTCTATTAATATTGAAAAATATCATGATTCTGGGAAATGTGGATTTTCCTTGGATTCTATAAATTGTAAAAGTTTGTTTATAAAACATAATTATATTCTAAATTATTTCGCTAGTAATGGTCACTATCCACCCCCGCCCCCTTGGGGATCAGGAATTTAAATCAGANGGGGGGTAGTGAAAGGATGGATGGCCAAGGAGGGGGTGGGGGTGTTGCGGTGTGTAAATGGGGTAAAGATCAACCTTTAGTTGTAATCGGCTCATCAAATGGATCACATTACAAGAAGAGTTACTAGTGATTTTAACGGCGGAGGTGGTGGGGCAGGTAGACGGCGGAGAACCCTCCGCCAGCGTCTCCAACTAGCTGGTCGTATGTTTACTGATTGTGTCGAGGAATCAACTTATTTTGATATCCTGCTCTGCACAGCTATATTCATCATTTTCACGTGCTTTTTCTTCTGGCTGGGAATACGATTTGGTACAGCTCTTATCCCAGAAGATGACATGGTTCTAATTCGAGCTCGGAGAACTGCTGTTAAAGTTGAACCGTCGAAAAAAAACCCTGGTCTTCTCCAGGCTCTAGGATATACAGGAGACGGGAAAGGTGATAAGAAACAAGTTCAAGGTGTGAAAAGTGATGCGCTTTATATCTCACAGGATAGTCAGGTGAAGATGCTTTCCTTGAAGCAATTTTAACTACCTAGATTTCTGTATTTTCTCTTTTTCCCTGAAAACGTTTTTATTAATTTTTTCTTCTGTCATCCCTGTTTTCTTTTTTTCTTTGTCTTTTCTTGCTTATCTTTTTTACTGGATTGTCTTGTCTCCTTTATTGTCCGGTTCTTCTCTCTTGGTTTCTCTTCCCAACCCTGTTCTCTCTTATTTTCTTTCTTCTCTTTTAAATTCTTCTCTTTTGGTTTCCCTTCTCTATTGGGTTTTCTCCACTCTGTTTTTTCTCTTCTGGGTTTTCTTCTTCTCTGGTTTCCTTTCTCTCTTAGTTTTTCTACTCGTCTAGTTAAACTTCTCTCCTGGTTTCTCTCCTTTCCTGGTTTTTGTACTCTTCTGGTTTCTCTTATGTCTTGGTTTTTCTTCTTTCCTGGTTTCTCTACTCTCCTGGTTTCTCTTCTCTCTTGGTTTTTCTTCTCTCCCTGTTTCTTTTCTCTCCTAGTTTCTCTTCTCTCTTGGTTTTTCTATTATCCTGGTTTCTCTTCTCTTTCAGTTTCTCTTCTTCTTTTCTGGTTTACTTTCTGTCCTGGGTTTTTCTACTCTCCTAGTTTCTACTCTCCTGGCTTTTCTTTCTTTATGGTTTCTCTTTCCTTCTGGTTTCTCTTTCTTTCTGGTTTCTCTTCTCTCCTGGTTTCTTTTATCTCCTAGTTTCTCTTCTCTGCTGATTTATCTTCTCTCCTGGTATTCTCTTCACTCCTGGTGTATCTTCCCTCCTGGTTTCTCTTATCTTCTGGTTTCCATTATTTCTAACGTTTTCTATTCTCCCGGTTTCTCTTCTTTTCTCTTCTCGTCTGAGTCTTCTTTCCTGGTTTCTTTTCTATCCTATAAGCTTCTCTTATCTAACGGCTTCTCTTCTCTCCTGATTATTCTCTCCCGGTTTTTGTTCTCTCCCGGTTTCTCTTCTCTTCCGATTACTCTTCTCTCCCGGTTTCTCTTCTAACTTATTTTCTCTCCAGTTTTCTCTTCTCTGCTGCAGTTTCTTTTCTCTCCAAGGGTTTCTACTTTCCTGGTTTCACTTTTCTTTCAGTTTCTCTTCTCTCCAGGTTTCTCTTCTCTTCCGGTTTCTCTTCTCTTCCGGTTTCATTTCTCTCCGTGGGGTCTAATAATTTTCTCTTCTCTTTTTGTTTCCCTTTTCTCCTGGTTTCTACTCTCCTGGTTTCTCTTCCCTTATGGGTTTTCTTCTCTCCTGGTTTCTCTTTTTTTCTGGTTTCTCTGATCTTACAGTTGATCTTCTCTCTTGGCTTTCTACTCTCCTTGTTTATCTCTCTTCTGTATTATACTCTCCTGGTTTTTCTCTCTTCTGTATTTTCTACTCTCCCGGTTTCTATTTTTTCTTGTTTTTTTCTCTTCTGGGTTCTTTTCTCTCCTAAATTCCCCTTCCCTCTGGTTTCTCGCCTCTTCTGTTGTTTTCAAATCTTTTTCCCCCACGAATTTTGTTTCTCCTATGCACTCTTGTTCTTTTTGTCAATCCGTTCCATTCTTAGATTCCAATTCTCTTTTGATTTCAGAACTGGGAATCTGGAGAGGTTCATTTTACTGCTCCAGTGAAAATAGAGCCCATTGATACAATTCAGTTCTTTGAAACAACTGAACCAGCTGAAGCCATCACGTCCACTCAACATGTTACTGAAACTAAATTCTATAAACAGACTGAACCCAATGATGCCAATGTTCCTATGAAGACGACTAAATCCCCTGATACGACTACAATCCTCGAAACAACCATAACTGATCAGGCTATCGAAGATGATATTCAAAGTATTCCTGAATTTACGACGGCTTATCAATCCATTGGGAACCCTTATTTCTCTGAAACAATCGAATCAACAGCTGCAGCAAAGTCCGGAGAAACGGATGAAAATGACATAATCAAAAGTGAATTCTTTGGAACAACGGAATCTAATGTCAACTCTGAACTCATAGTTACCAGTTTTTATGAAACCAAAGTTTTTGAAACAACTGAATCAATTGAAGTCGCTGAACCTCATTTCAAAACCGAATCTGATGATTTAAAGACAACAGGTGACTTTCCAGCAGATACGGTTTCAAGTAAAATTGTTCTACCTGACCTAAACCCCTTCTCTGTAAACGATGTTGATATCTCTGAAGCTTCAGCTGGTTCCGCTCCTCTAGCTCAACCCTTGGTTCTAGTGGATGATTATTCTGATGATGATACTAACACTGAAACTGAACCTGAGTTTACAACAACTAGGCCTAAAATTTTAGCTTCTACCACATCTGTTTTCAACACAGTGACGAGCTTCGATATCATAGCATCAACCACACCAGCTTATACTATTACAGCGGATGTTGAGGAAGTGACAACAGCCACAGCTGAGACATCATCAGCATCAACTCCGCAACCGACAACAACATCAACCACTACCACTACCCCGAAACCCTACTGTAAAACACCATATTGTGAATATATCTCCGGGTTCGGAATATCCGAATCTAAAGGTTGTCTGGATCTACAGAATATTCAATGCAGGAGGAAAGGAGAGCAGGAAAATAAGGTGAGTTTTAAACCTCTTTGATTAATAACCAGTTTTTTTTCACAAAATTATAGTCGTCTTTGTTTGGTCTTTTATCACTGAATGCTGATAGGGGGTTTTGGTAATTATAACTGTTTTAATATGTAATAACTGATTACATTTTTATAATGAACACTTTTCTGCATTTCTAATTCAAGAAAGACGACAACTATTTTAGTTATCTCTTTATTCCTCAATAATGAAATTTTCATTAAAATTAGTTTTAAGACCTTTCCTTCTCATAAATTCCTTGATTCTAGTTTATTTTCAGAATTTTGTTCTCTCCATGATCTCTGATAAACTAAGCGTCTTAAGTGCCAACCCTACCCGGAGTAAGACGGAGGAGATAATCTTAAAATTCTATCTATCCTGTCTCTCCTGGGATCCGAACCTAGGACTCCGAATGGTTGCTGAACTACTGATTGATCTTGGATTCACGTCTAAGCCGCACAAACTAGAATTAAAAGATCAGGTAAACCTTTTTCCTTTTTTATAGATTTAGAAGTGTATGAGGTGGGGGGGGGGGGAGAGAGAGAGATCTAACCCATTTATGTTTAATTCTCATCATGAGAATAAAACTTATTTTTTCTGCAAGCAAATTGCAACTAAACTTTTCTTTTGAAACCAGCCTAAAAAATCAAGTTCTAAATACTGATAAACATTGAAAACAAAATCGTGAGTTTAGTTGGTAAATCATTTTACAGAAGTAAAACTGTTCGTGCGGCAATGAAAAATAAACATGAATAATTGCGTTCAACTGTATTTTTAGCTTTAATTCATAACTTGCATGATAATTACCTTTCAAAATTCATTTATTCATTTAACTATCTACTCATTTTATACACTTTTTCATCTAAGTTATGTACAATAAAAGTATATGGATAGGTTTTGTGTGCCAGAAATTATTAAGAATGTAAACTTTCTTGGGCAGTAGGATGGTCGGACTTGTTAAACAATTTTATTTTATTCACCTTAAACAAGTTCCTGAGCAGATCTAATACGTCACACAAACCATATGCATCTACCTTTAGTATACATACCTTGCTTTAATCTAGCCATCAGATGACCAATTATGTTTTCGAAGACAATACTTGTTATATTTCTCAAAAATAATTATTTAAAATTATTCCATTTCAGTTGAGGAATGTGCTCCAAACTTTTCCAGATCTTGGAGCTTTTGGAGAACAAAAAACTGAATACCGCAGAGGGAAACCCAGACGATATCTTGCTCCGAGTACATCCGTCGCACCCAGTACACAACCCGGAGAAGAGAGAGAAAAGCTGATATTTAGATCCGTCCTGGGCATAATTAGGGAGATGAAGGGGATTGAAAGAGAGACTGCGGAGAGGATGAAAAAGAATGACGATCTGAGGAAGGACGTAAGGATCGAATTGTCAAAGAGCAACCGAAACGACACAGGTATTACAGGATGTAGATGTTTCTGTAATAAACAGGCATCAGAAATTTGCCAGGCGTTCTTAAACCTGGATCAAACTGAGACACAGCCGATGGGTAAAGCTATTCTAGTTGAACCTGTGTCAAAGATGACATCAGCTAGCCCAAACACCACCCAGAGTACAAAAACCTCCCAGAGTACAACAACTTCCCAGAGTAAAACAACATCCACAGCAACAACAACCTCCCAAAAAACAACAACCTCTCAAAGTACAACAACCTCTCAAAGTACAACAACCTCCCAAAGTACAACAACCTCCCAAAGAACAACAACCTCTCAGAGTACAACAACCTCTCAAAGTACAACAACCTCTCAAAGTACAACAGCCTCTCAAAGTACAACAACCTCTGAAAGAACATCAACATTTGAGTCAATAAATCCTCAGACCGAGACAACAACCATTTATCCTGTATCCTCAACTCTAACCCAATCCTCACCTTCCACAATATCATCCTTCACTTCTCCGTCCAGCTTTACTACGACTCAACTTCGTTCTCCAACTACTTCTACCCTTCTTCCTTCTACAAATCAAGGACGTATCTCTAGTGCTCAATTAATCCCATCAACACACCAACCTTTAACTTCAACTCCTAAAACCAAGAGTAACACTACGACCACCCCATTTGAAACTACAATCACATATCCTGAAAATATCCTCCAAACCGAAGAATTTAAGCCGACAGATTCTACTAATATCTTGATTGAAACCACAACCAATCCATATTCGATTCTTCAAACCATGCTTGCTGAAGATGATACAGAAGTAACACAAAGTACAGAAACCTCGATGCTTGACAAAGATACAAACAAAACCAAGTTAAACAAGACTTCCGTGTTAGATAACTCATCTTTTAAAGAAATTAATCACAATTTAAATTCTTCTCAACCATCAGCAGGATTGGAAAAACCATCCCCGTTGGTCAATCCTGACACATCTTCTACTATAAAACCGGTTTTATCTGCTGTTGTATTTCCGGTCGATTCTTTCAACACAGATTTTTCGTCCGAATCCGATGATGTACAGAATAGCCTAGAATCTGATTCAACGAAACCTGCAGCGAGGAGGAATCTAACCCTGATATATCCCAAGATAACTTACCAAACCGTCCAAGCGTACAACCAGAGTACCCGGATAATCAGATCTATAACCAATAAGATTCCAATGCTGACTGAATCACAGTCGAAACAGAAAGCGGAAAATGAAACCCTACGAAAATATTCCAAAAAAATTTTGGAATTAGAAAACAAGATTAAATATTTCTCTGAAGATCCGTTAAGTCTGGAGTCCGGAGAGGGGGTTGTTGGACCATGGGTTCAGAGGTTATTCTGGTTCTCCGGGATCAAAGCAGAACCTTTCCGAACCTCTAAGTTTGGAGATCATATGGAAGAGGTTTTAGAGCTGACTCCAGACGACGAAATCACATTCTTTCTACTCTGGAAACTTCTGGAGAGGTTTCAAAAAACGCTCCCGGGATTCTTCAACTCTGATCGAACCCAAACTGAGATTTGTTCTCAAAATATCTTTTCCTACTTTCCTCAATTCTTCCTAGAGCTCGTTGAACCTCATCTAGTAGAGGCTGTACGTGATGTATCCCCTATTTTACTCCAAGTAGATGAACCAGGAAGTGTATCTGAAATACTAACAAGTTTGAAACTTAAATCAGAAAAAATGTTCAATCAGAAATTTTTCAATTCCAGTGAGTTGGAAAATAAAAACTTCCTGGGACGTGTTCTTCTCTTAGAGAATGAAAAGAAGGACGTAGGAATGCAGTATCTCTCCAGGTACTACTCCGAACACAGACCTGAGACACTACTGCTTGAAAACAGGATGTATAAACTTTACACACAGGTTGAACTGAACATGGAGTATGTTCAACAATTTCTCTCAATCCCAGAGAAACCTGTCTTCACCGGGTTGTCTCTCCAGGAGACGATCTTAAACACAACAGAATCAGTTATGAAAACCCTCCCGGAGAAAGGCTCTTTGAATATTGAACATTTTGGAAATATTTCTGAATTAGAACAGTTTTCAATCCTTCTCAGTTCTCAGTTATGTGACCCAAACATTATATTGCTCAGAAACCAAAGTTTTATCTGTCCGACTTAAACTCAGATAATCTCTGAGTTTTATTATTGACATAAATGTGATATTATAAGTTATAAAACCCTGACAGCATCAGAATTTTTTTATTAAATTAAATATTATATTTTTATAGATTAGCTCAAAAATTAGTAGAGTAGAGGAGCTTGTAGAGTTTTACAACTAATTTGCTTAAATTATATATTTCACAGGTGTTAATTAACACTTCTAAATGAAATGACCGGGAGTATTTTCATGTACGTGTTTCTAGATGATGCAGTTCTTTTACTCGAAGCTGTAAATAGTGCAGCTAAAATGTTCACATTGTCGTTCTTAGATGACGAAGGTTTTTTTAATTGGTTGTGCCATCCTGATGTCCCTGATTTGATTTACATGAATTTAAAAATACAGATTTTTAAGTTTATCTTTGCTAAGGCTTAAAATTTAAGCTTTCGATAAATTGATATTCTTAAAGGAGAAGTGAAATTTTGAAGTGATAAACGTGACCATTAATTATCATAGAAAAAATCTAAGAAACTATTTAAACACCGATTTAAGATAATCCATTGAAAGATACTTTGCAGTTTTGAAAAACATTAACCGACCGACATTTTGACCTCTACCCTGTAAATGCATTCTTTAAAATAGGCCGATCCTTCGAATATATATTTTTCGATAAGAAAATAAAGAGAGTTATGTGACACAGATCAGATCGGTTGAAATGTTCGAGGATTTTTTCAAGATCGTCAAATCTAAATTTATTTACTATTTATAACACCGCGGTTGTTTGAAGTGATAATTAATAAATCATTATTTTAATTCAGTTTTATTTAGTGATGGAGAAAGCTTTCTCCCGGTGGAAAGTATTCAATGAACTTTCCTATGCTTTCTCTTTATACCGGAGTTTCACTGTTCACAGTACAATTGTATCCCTTATAGTAAACAATTCTTTGATGTATAAATACAGAAATGTGCTCAATGAATGTAAAACTCATACACATTAAACATTACGTACAATTTGTTCAGTTATTAAATTCAGATTTCCTATATTTACACTATTTTGAAATATTTTTAACGTCTTTTTTGGTCGAATCCAAGTGATAAAAGAGAGTTTATGAAGTTTTGATGGGGTTTTCTCTGCAGCCTTGCGGTTAGAGTAATCATAATTTAAAATGACTCTTTTTATTTATTTAAAACTCCCTTTTTTATCAAGAATGAATTAAAGTACCTGGATACAATGGCTAGAGGTTGCCAGGTTAGATTAAAGGGTTTCGGGTTTCAGGACTCATCAGTGTATAAAGTCAAACCAGGAGAATTACAACGTAAAATAAAACTATATTTTAAATTGTCCAATATGGTCTTTTAGAAATATTATATTAAAAGTCGGATTACCAAATTCGTCAAAATTTGAAATGAGACAGTACTTAAAAGGCTTGTTTACAGGTGAAAAGTCTAAACTTAAAAACATTTTGAAAAAAGTTTGAAAAACCAGGTTTACACAGTTCAATGAAAAGCATTCTCTGAAAAGTTTGGATTTTTGGAAAAATCAAACAAGTCCGAATTGCAATAATAAATATTGGAAGTTTTTATCAAAAGAACGAAAACTACAACACGTATTAGAACAATGTTTTAATTTGTAACGATCTTTAAGCAGTCTCTGAATGGACATGTTTAGATGGACATCATGTAGATTGAAAGTATACAGTGGTATCCACAAAGATGGGACTTAAATGACGACCTGATGCACCTTAAATCTGACGATTTGAAAGTTTCAATATACCATAGAAAAGAAAAACGAAGTGTACATATCAGGAAATCATGGAACAGAAGAAAAATAACGAAAAAATTCTGAACAGTCTTCTCTATAGTATCATCCTTGTGGTAATTTTCGAAGTTATCAATACTCGTTCCGAAATTTATTAACTATGTAAAAACTATCGGTGTCTAGATTGATCGTACTGCCATATTTTCTATTTGTTATTTGTTCAAAAACAAATAAATAAAAAGTAATTTTACTTTCCTTTTCTGTTCATTTTAATGATGTTATAACTTCATAACTGGGTTTTCCAACAGATGAGACTTCAGAGACGATTTTACACCATTTATTAAGTTTTGTTTTGCCTAGACATCTTGATTTTATCATTCATAAAATATGCCATTGGTAAAAAACAAAATTAAGCTTTTAGATCGTTATTTTTAAAGAATTTTAAAGAACTTTAGGTCGTCATTGATGTGATAATCCTTTATAGGTCACTCTTTTTATAGTATGTAAATATACACCGTGAGAAGTGATTATTGAAACCTGATCCCACTTTTTGTCTAAACAATGATAAAGATTTCTTAATTGAACAGAATAATATCGTAGTTTTAATGAGCTCTTCTCAATCAGAACATGAATCAATGTTATGTTATAGGCCTTAAAGGGACTGTAAGCGTAATTTCCAGTGTCTTTCCTTGCAAATATGGTAATGTCCGATTCACAGTGATACCCTTAAAAGCTTTGTCAAGTTTGAATAAGATATCATTTTTTTAAATTTAGAAAACGGATTATTTTCAATTGTGGCTTCTCTCCAAAAGTGACTAGCGCATCTCTAATGCAGGTAAACCATGAAGGAATTATCGGAATTGAACACTTTTTAACCTATAAAAACGAAAATAATCCACAATATTATTTAAATAAAGGGTTCCAGATTACCGTTATTGCCTTCTTTGCATGGAGTGTCACTTTATATTACGCTTACAGTCCCTTTAAACTAAAAAAATTTAATTGTTTTTCAAATAATTTACAAATTATTTACATTCAGTTTCAGAAAAAATTAGTTTTGAATGGATGATATTTAGTGGTATAATATGAGAGGATGGGAGGCAAAACAATCTGTGCAAGGTAAAACATCGTGAATACAAATGTTTTAAAATTAATTATGGAATTTTAAAAACTTTTTTAGTCGTAAAAAACAGTTATAAGTATTTTTTAGTCAGGCAATAACGATTATAGAATTGGTTAAAGCAGTACTACAATGATCTTCAAAATGTTCTTATTTGGGCCAACAGCTAAAAGAAGCCGCTTTAAGGACAATATCTGTTTCTTTACTTTCTTCAACGAATTAAAGTAATCTCGAGTCTATAGTTGAATCTTCATGATAAAAACAATTCTCAAGAACCGAATTTTTTTTTACATTTTTATTTTAAAATTTAAAATATTTTTTACAATATTTAAATAGTTATATATGATATCAGATGTAAATATTTTGACTTTTCTATATTTCTTGTTCTTCCTTTTCTTCTTGTTCGTAAATCTTTCAATCATATTTCGGCTAATTTGAAAAAAAAAATTCAGACATCTGTGCAGTTTTGCCATGCTGCAAACTTTATAACCAAGTTAAGGTGCCTCCTTTTCTTATTTCTACAGTACACTCATTAGATGTGTCAGCAGCTGAATTCAACTTGTTGATTCAGCTCCAAACAAACACATATTTCTAATGCATATTCTGTCAGGCTGATTTAAATGGAGGGGGGGGGGGGATATGGCTTCCAAGCCCCCATCTCTAATGTTTGTTTCTATTTGCTAACAGTTTAATGATTATATATGATAGTGCAGAGCTTGTCATCAGAGATTTCCCTTCCAATTTTTCCTGTTAAATTTTTTTCTTCTTGTTTCTACGTTTTGAGGCCTCTCCAAATAGTTCTTGTGACATGGAGTAGCGGAGCAGGTAGGAACGAGATAAGGGGGTTTGGAGGAGGAAGGGTATGAGGGATTGCTCCCTGTTTTCCTTAGTGTTTAAGTCTTTCCGATTTATGGAAACGCATAACCGCACCCCTTATGCAAAATCGGGAGTTGGAAGCCTTAAAGCCCCATCAAGTGGAATCTTCCACAGTAGACCAGTCCACCGAGTAAAAAACTGGTATACCCATCAGGGGTTATACTCCTTCTTTCAGCTGAGCCATCAAGAACCAAAATAGATTTTCCAAAAATGTGTAACTATAAACATCTACTTTATTTTTACTTACTCTAGGAGGTCTGGATCATTATGAACACAAAATTTTAAAAGTTTGGGTAGTGATTGTAATATTTAATTTGCTAAAATATAAAATTCACTTTTCTGTCTGAACTTATAGATTTCCGAATGAAGATCAGACCTTGATAGTATTTTAAAAACACACAACAAAAAATGGCCAAAATTCATATATTATAGATATTTTCAAAACAGTTTTGCATCATGAAACTATTTTTGGTATTAAAAAAAATATTGATGACCTATTTCAGTGTCCGTGTTTTTTTTTGTGAAATTCACGCCTAATACTGAGAAATACTCAATCCACGCCATATTTTCACATTATCTCTATGACGTCTTTTTAACTGAAATTCCTCAAATACAGTGATAACCAAATATGTAATAGGAAGACGACATCACAGCAATACATTTGATGTTGTTATAAAGCAAAATGTTTAACAAGTAAATTATTACATTACTGATTAAGTAAAATGGGTCTGTTTACACTGCACAATTGCTGTGCCTCATGTTCATTGGACTAATTTAAGTGATAACTTGAGTTTAAAAGTCGACTTCATATTCCAGAGTTTTCTAGTTATCACTGTAGTTATTAGAAAATAATTTCAAACTATGCATTCTTTTAGATCAAATAATCTTAGTTTCAAATGTCAGTTTAAAAGTCGACTTCATATTCCAGAGTTTTCTAGTTATCACTGTAGTTATTAGAAAATAATTTCAAACTAAGCATACTTTTAGATCAAATAATCTTAGTTTCAAATGTCAGTTTAAAACGTGAGGATGCAAAATATCAGTTTGTGGCAAAGACTCAATTTCTTCGTATAAGTTTGAGTTTAGGAAGATGAATGGACGTGTAGCGCTGTAATGCTTCCATATTTTAAATAATTTATGTAAAATCTATTTCTGAGCGCCAGAACTAGTCTTGCCATGGTTAATGTGTATCCAGGTGTAAGAAAATACATACAGGTGAAACTGCAGCTCAGTTCGTTTCTTCAGTCCTTCTCCACCCCTCTTTAGAACCTCAAGAACCTAATATATCTAGATATACCTTGAGACGCTTAGAATTGTGTTCTTTATTACCGATTTCCAGGTTTAAATCCATCCTATTTTATTATTCATCTTCAAGAAAAATGCGAATATTGTATCTGGTTAATTTGTACTCCAACGACTTATATATTTCGAACGTAGATTAATACTATTTTAATATTGATTCTAGATTATATGAATCCTATGTCATTTTTCTTATCACAAGTCATGAAGCTTGTATATATTTAGGTACCCGGAGCAGATATATAGTTTAAACATCCGACAGTCGGAGCTAAACCCTTCTCAGTGCTACTGATCCGTCCCAGATAATAGTCCAGGATGACCGTAAAGAACATTTGCTGCTTGGGGGCTGGATATGTCGGGGGCCCCACCTGTTGTATCATTGCTCAACAATGTCCCGAAATAAAGGTATTTTACTTATTCTAACTCACCAGTCTCCGGATAAAAAAGTATAACAATTTATTTATTTCCTGATCTTCAAACTATTTAAATCTCATCTACTCTAAAGGACTATCGTTGTTTCGCTAACATTAAGCCAAGAGTCGCTTTTACAGAGAAACCACAATTGAAAATACGCAAATTTCAAAGTAAAAACGCCGAATATCTTATTTATTTTTGATCATACAAAGCTATTAAGGTTATGGTTGCAAATCGGTCATAAATTGAGGGTCCCATTAAAGTACGTCTACAGTGCCTTTAAGCATTTTACCCGTTAACCGATCGTTTGGATATGGAGAATAGGTCAATAACCTTAACATGAAGATACATAATGTCGTCCTCTTCAATGATTTTAAGAATTCTCATTAAAACAATTTTAACGATTATATACGCTGGATCAATGCTATCATCGATTTTAGTGACTTTCAATGTTTTAGATTTTACAAAATCATTAAAGGGAGTGACCGGTAATGTATGGTAGTTGAAATGAGAATTTATAATATTGTGGAGACATTTTTAAGGATATTTGATGAGACGTTATTACGGGGAATATTTGTTCAGCAAGAGCGCGAATTCCATTTTTAAAATCTTCATAGATTTTTTATTTTTGATGGATGATTTTTAGAATCGGTTTTATTATTGATTAACGACGACGAAAAATATGGTAAACTAATTAGTTGTTTTGGAACAGGTTAAGAAAATAAAAATTAACTATCGAATAAAAGTAATCTTATTCAGTTATTGGTTTCTGTAATGTCTCATTGTTTGCAAACCTTTTTTTTGTAGATTTCCTGGAATTTTTGAAGAACGACATTCAAAGAATTTGAAGAAATCTTTGAATTAATTCATAAAAAATAAGAAAATCAATATAATGATGAAAAATAAATAACTGATTCTAACATTGATTTATGGAGAACATTTTAATCTAACTAGTTTACTGTAGAATTTTTTTTACATTTCTTGCCGTGGTTACTTTTAAAATAAATCGATTCTCAAAACCTTACCACCCAAATGGATGATTTTGAATGTCGACTTTGCACTCAAACTAAGTAATTATACCTCATTATGACGTTTTGTATGTCTCTAATGAATTATAAAAAAATTCTCCAAAATACTACATTCCCAGTTCAATTACCATACATTGCCGGTCACTCGCTTTAAGTTATTTTTTTTTCAAATATCCTCTGATCTTTGTTACAATTTTTTGCACTTGATAAATTAAAGGATTGAATAGTTTGGAAAATGTCTATTGAATAATGTTAAAAAGATAAGAAAATTTGTTTAGTTGTAAACTTGTCATTCCAAACCTGACCGGTTTTTTTTCTAATTTAGAAGAATAATAGTTTTACATCCATATATTTGTCCAGGTGACTGTAGTTGATAAATCTGCAGACAGGATTGCTGCCTGGAACTCAGAGGATCTACCCATTTATGAACCTGGCCTCATGGAGGTTGTCAGCCAGTGTCGAGGCCGTAATCTAGTTTTCTCTACAGATATCGAGGCTGCGATCAGATCAGCAGATCTTATCTTTATCTGCGTCAACACTCCGACCAAAACCTTCGGAATGGGTCAGGGTAAGGCTGCCGATCTTAAATTTGTCGAGCTAGCCGCTAGAATGATCGCTGAGACTGCAGAGGAGGGAAGTGGATTGAAGATCGTTGTTGAGAAATCTACTGTACCAGTCAGGGCGGCGGAAAGTATTGGAAACATTCTCCGTCACAATATTAAACCTGGAGTTAGTTATCAAATTTTATCCAACCCGGAATTCTTGGCGGAGGGTTCTGCCGTCGAAGATCTGCTCAGTCCTGACCGGGTTCTGATCGGTGGAGAGGAGACGGATGCTGGAAGATCGGCAATATCCGCCCTGGCAGATGTATATCTAAACTGGGTGCCGAAGGACCGGATTATTACTATGAACACTTGGAGTAGTGAACTGAGTAAACTGGCGGCGAATGCATTCCTTGCTCAAAGGATCTCCAGTATTAACTCTATGTCTGCTGTCTGCGAGGCTACTGGAGCTGATGTTTCCGAGGTGGCCGAGGCAATTGGTAGAGATACTAGGATTGGACCTAAGTTCTTGAAGGCTAGTGTTGGCTTTGGAGGATCATGTTTTCAAAAGGATATTCTTAACCTGGTTTATATCAGGTATTCAATATCATTTTTTTAACTATAGACTAGCTTGGGAACCTAGAATTGAACTTTACAATTGTCTATTCACTGAACTTAGAATTTATAAACGAATTTGATTACATTCCCGTGGTTTACTTGGTTCCCAGATAAAAATTTGAGGCAAATTTGTCCAACAGTTGATATGCTTATGATCAGATATACAAACAGATAGACAAACGAAGATTACTACTTTATTTTTATAGAAGATGCAGCAAATATTTTATCATAAAAAAGCTTTAAAATGTTTTATTCTATTTCTGTTAAATTCAGTTTTTGGTCTTAAACAATTGCATTATTTTTATCGTTCAAATTTTCATTTTTAAAGTTATGTCTGGTGAATTAAAAAAAATTGATTTTCTTTATCTAAACATGATATGTTATCAGCGAATGTTTGAACCTGCCTGAGGTTGCTGAGTACTGGAGCCAGGTGGTTTCATTCAACACCTTCCAGCGCTCCAGGTTCTCCAGGAGGATTATAGAGTGCCTCTTCAACACCGTCACAGACAAGAAGATCTGCATTCTTGGGTTCGCGTTCAAGAAAAACACAGGCAGGGTTGCCAAAGGTTCAAATAACAACCTTAGATTTGTAAATTATTTTCTAACACAGAGTGAGAGTAGGTTGCATGCAGATTGCTGAGAGGATAAAGAATAAGATTTTTCATTAATTATTCTAATTCAACACATTGATTAATATGTATTATTGTTTACTCCGTAAATTTTTTATCCTCCATGGTTGCAGGTTGGCTTGAAGTATTTGTTTTACTTGTTTTGATTTTTTTAGTTTTGGTTTGCAACTACTTTCCAGAGATTGAAACTTAATACAGTCACGTCCACACCTTAGATACAAGGATTTATATTGTACCCATGTTTAAAGAATTCCAGTGGGGGTAGAATTGTTAAGCAAAATATCAAATTTTTTTCCCAAATTGTACTTAGAGAAGGGTAGTTTCGACTTAAAAGCTTTATTCAGGTTTCAATAAACGATTATTTTTTAAACTAAACAAATATTAGATTTTTAAAAGTTTCGATCTATTTATTGAATAAGTTTGTAAAGCATGAAAAAAATGTTTTCTTTCTAATATACAGGTGTACTCAGGTCTATTAGTGAATTCTAAATTGTTTGCACATTTGAAATTGTTTTCCTTCGCTTCGTTTTAAATCATTTCTTTATAATGAAGGTTAAATTGATGGAAAAATATATCTTTTGTAAAAAACATTGGAGGGGAAGAAATTGAGTCTTTACCATAAACCATAAATACAAATTTAACGAGAAAAGAACAATAAAAAATATTTAAACCATCATATCAAATATGGAAGACAATTGTAAACGCTGTGATTACTTAAGACCTTACTTCTGATCTAAAGAAAAAGTCTAGTTTTCATAGTCTTTTGTTTCTGATCTTAATATAATGTACAGATAAGGTTAGCTTAAAGGGTATATCAAAGTAATTTAAAGTGTTCCTCCAATTATAACAGTTTAATGTCTAATAAACAACAATACCTTTTTGTTTGGAGAAAAATGATAAAGATTTCCTTGTTTTTCTATCTGAAAACTGATATTTCTAAAAAGAGATTTTTGTACAAGCGTTTTTTAGAGCAAAGAAAACAAAGAAAATTGGCCAAATTCATTTAAGAAAAACGATATCTTGTTATGTAATTGGGGCAAGTAACTATTTAAATGGATAGTCACTGGAAATTTTGTAAACAGTCCCTTTAATAATCCCTGATGTTCAGGAGATACTAGAGAGTCTGCTGCAATCTACATATCTCGTCATCTGATGGAGGAGGGAGCTAATCTATCCATATATGATCCTAAGGTAAGGTTGGAAACAGCCCATCTACTGGAATCCTTCTCCAGAGAAGACACAGAACTTGTGAGAAAAATTTTGTACACAGTTCACTGTGACGTATTAGGACTATACTTAGAACTAGTTTATCAAAACAATAACAAAGATGTAAACAAATATGGGAGGTTTCCGGGGCGGGTGTTCCATATTCTGTATGTATACACCAGCTGGTTAAACATAAAGGCATTCATTGAATAAGCTGTTATTGGCAGACAGAGAGAATCTAAACTGCTATTAGTTAAGCACCATCATTGTTCAGTGTCCTCATGAACCCTGGGACCAGATTTAATGAAAAGCGAGAAGTAGTTGAACGGATTAGAATAAGTTGAACCAGTGCACAAGAGAACTAGCTCAACTTCGTTCAGTGGTTAAACTACATCCTGCTATTCATTAAATCTGATCTCATTGTACCTGGAGAAGCGCCCTAATTCTTGTTTGTAGGTGAGTAAAGGACAGGTTCGGATAGATCTAGAAGATAGTGAGAACCCGGAGAGATTTGATAAACTTGTATCCTGTCACTTAGATCCTTACACTGCAGCATCTGAAGGTAATTTGGGAGTTTAGTTCAAGAAGAAAAAAATAGAAAACTATATCTTTATTTTCTATTCAGCTCATGCTGTCGTTATATGCACAGAGTGGGACGAATTCCTAACACTAGATTACAAGAGGTAGCTTTTTTAACAGTAATATTCCTTGTAAAAATAAGTTCAAATTATGTTAGTTGAAAGTTAAATGTAATTTCAAATTTGTTGATATTATCCAAAAAAAAGCCTGTGTTATTGTTTATGAATTCTGTATTGAGAATTTTTTAAAATCTATTTTTCATAATTCATATTTCGCGATAGATTTGATATTCGAATTATTTAAATTTTCCCATAAAGCAAGAAACTTCTGAAGCAGCTAATCCGTCTCTTTCCTTCCTGGGGATTCAAATTATTCTATAAAAGGGTTAAAACTTCAAAATTCCCTTTTTTTTCACTTTTAAGATGAATAAGCATATAACATAACTTTAACAACTCATGCTGTTGAGGGGTACTTGAAAAAAATACTAAAATACAAGAACCAAGAACCTGTTTTCTAGAATGTATGAGAGTATGAGAAAGCCCGCGTTCCTGTTTGACGGCAGGAAGATGCTGGATCATGAACAGCTGGGGAAAATTGGATTCCACGTGGAAACTATTGGAAGACGACTTAACCGTAGGTAAAAACAAGAAACCTTGATTTTGGAATCCAAAGCCTTTTTATCTTTTTTATTTCATATTTATGAATATAATTTTATATGATTAACACGGTAACCCACAAAGGATGCTACTTCAGAGACTAATATATTCAATCCATTCCTTATTTTCACATTTCCCTGCAGCTGTAATCTTTCCGTTTTTTATTGCAGTTTTTAGGGCACAATCCCAAATTTAATCTTTGGATTTTTATATTTAATAAATTTTTGGATCCTTTAAAAGTCTCATCTTTTGCCAGTAACCCTGAAGCATTAGTAAGAAATAAAAATCAAGCTCATTTCCTGTACATTACCGATTAGATTTAATAATAATAGATTTTTCTGTTTAGGAACATAGAACGAACCTGGAACTAAAATAGTTGTAATTAATCTGTAATAAACACAATATTTATAAAAAACGAAAAAATTTTACCTATTGTTTACTGAAACTGGACAAAGTATTACAAAACTTTTTTCACTCAAACGCACCTTGTATTAATACATTTTCACAAAAAAAAAATCTTTCCAAAGCACAGACATTTTTTCTGAACCTTTTTATATATAACAAGACCGTCAAGCATCAGACGAAAATTTAATATGAATGAAACTGGATAATTTGCTGATATAGATTTAACCGTGAGCATTTTAACCTGTGATTTTAAACTTTTTGTTTTAAAATTTTTACTGTTTTAATTTTAAATAATAAAAATGATAAATTTATTGACTTAAGAGAGCTTTAGGAATAACATAGGTTTAGATAAAATGGGGTTAGAAATGAAATATAACTTATTTTTGCTTTTCTTTCAGTTGAGTACCGTCGTCGTCGTATAACCAATACAATGAAGACGACTTTCGATTTAAATTTTTTATTTCTACTGACCTTTTTAAACAGCATGGATTCACATGAAAACAAATTAACAGCTTCTCTTAATTTAGCTATAAATCTGTAATTTAAAAAAAGCTTGAAAGAAACCAAAAATTAAAATAGAAAAGTCGTCTTTATTTTATTGATATAAACCCCGATGGATCATGGAACCCTCTTTATGTGTTTATATTTTCTAATAAAAATCACGCAACCTTGGGACTTGATGGAAGTGTATAAAACTGAAGTTTGAAAGGGAGTAGGAGTGGAACTAAAGCAATTACGCAAATTTTAACTCAAGAAAATTCGCTTGATTGAGACTAAATTAGGTCAAAACATTTAACCCTTCTATTGTAAGTTAGTCAGTGTTATTATTGCAATATTTTGCACGAAACTAAGTCAGATTAGTTCCTCAACTAATTCACAAAGATATAGAATAAATTCGTTAAGGAAATAATTGTTAATATGAATGAACTTTTTTTTGAAGTTGAGCACTAAGCAATGAGTAATTTTGAAAGTGTTAGAGTGCATTTAATTATAGTTTTGAACGTTTTAAAGGTTTTTTATAGATATATGGTACAAGTAGGTCAATTAAGAAGACTAAATTGAACCACCCCTCTTCACAGAGAACTGATTGAACCGGTGGTAAGTGGTTTAATTACTTACTTCTGTTCATTAAATCTGAGCTGAAAACTTTAGAATGGTGGATATCATAAAAGGGCTAATGTCATAAATTTCGAGATTAAATATTGCAGTAACTCTGCATGATTTTAAACTTCAGATTAATTATTCGACGGGATATCTGGATATTTCATTCTAAAGTTTTCAGCTCTGAGCTGAAAACTTTAGAATTGGATACCCTTAATCCCGATATCTACCATTCAAAAGTTCCCAGCTCTGGTCCCGTCCTTTAAATAAGATCTTCATGATTTTATTCATGATTTTTTATGATTATGATCTCCACTAATTATATCTTTTATCAACCTGACTATAATTAAACTTCTATATCTAAGGTACAGGGTGTCCCAATGAACATGGGAATTCAATGACGAATTCGATATCGTCTTTATAAATAATTCTTTTATTTAGTATTGTGATACCTACTGAGAAAGCTGTAATCCGTAAGATTTTTGTCTGTTATGTTTACATTTTGTTTGTTTATGTTTTGACTACATACGGTTTTGTACCTAGTAAACCAAGAAAATTGCAGTATACAAACAGAATAAACTTGTCCGTCTTCACTGTTCATCTTGCGGAGAAGTTATAGACACATCTTTACACTCTTTTACCCTTTTCATAAAATAAACTCTAGCCGACAATAATATTATGCTTTTGAAATTAGGTATTACAGTGCTAATTTATATCAAAGACGATATCGAATTCGTCACTGAATTCCCATGTTTTTGGGACACCCTGTACAATAATAAAACAAGACATTATATATATATATGTTGCCTATAGCCGTCCAAACGACTGGATGGATTTGGCTGATATTTTTTGTGGACACTCAGGGGTTGCCGAGGGTGTTATACAGTGAAATCCTTAAAAACGAATACATCGGAAGAATTTATCAAATGTCGTCTTGACAATTTTTCAATGAGTTTTATACTATATTACGTAAATTTCAGTATTTGCAAAAATAAATAAATAGCCATGAATATGCGGGAACAGTTTTAAAGAGTTCCATATGATCATTTAATTAAAAACTAAATATCTGCAACATTCCATTATCAGAGAGTGAAGAATACGACATTTGATGAATTCTTTCGATGTATTCGTTATTTCGTTGTTTCACTGTAGGATAAACAAAATTTGATTTTTTTGAATTTTTATTTTTTTTTCAAAAATTCTTGATTTTTTTAAACATTTTTTTTCCACGGGCAATGCCGGGCCTTCCAGATAGTGTACAATAAAGACGACTTTTAATTTTAATTTTGATTTCTACCAAGATTAAGGATAACAGAAACACGTAAACATTGAAACAAAGAGAAGTTGACAATTAACAGCTTCTTTATTTACTTGTAAACTAAACTAAACTTGTAATTTAAAGAATGCTTGTTAGGAATTAAAGAATTATAGATAAAAATTCGTATTCACTGTACGATTCGCCGACCACTGTATGATTCTTGTGTCCATGGCTGTTCTCTACAAGTTTTGCATCTGCAGGTTTTACATCTGTTAGATTCCAGAAAGGATAAATGGATTAGTATGCAGAAGAACGTTTCTTCTTGTCATTAATAGAATGTCTCCAACCCACGCCAATGAAAATAATAGCTTTCTAAAAAACCAATTTGCAGGATGTCAGGATTTCAAGGAATTTCTCCTCCATCTCTCTCTGTTGCACATTTATTCGTGATCAATGATAATAGTCTCATTCCAATGACACTGCCTCACAAAAACTACAGGTCAGGGCTCTGTAGACAGAAACTCTAGTTTTCTTTTCTCTTGTTCATTCTTCTTGTGAATGAATTGTAATTCTCAGTGACCCTCCATTTTTAGATTGTCATGTTCAATTCCCAATGGTACCTAAAAAAATTTGTCTGGTCAAGTATGAATAAGATATCAATGTTTTCGTTTTGAAAACAGATAATTTCTCTATCTGTCTTTTAAGTTTTTAATTCAAAAATTGAAAAACAGGGTGTCCCAAAAACATGGGAATTCAGTGACGAATTCGATATCGTCTTTGTTATGAATTAGCATTGTAATACCTGATTTCAAAAGCCATAATATTATTATGTCTGCTAGAGTTTATTTAATGAAAAGGGTAAAAGACTGTAAAGATGTGTCTATAATGTCTCCGCAAGATGAATAGTGAAGACGGACAAGTTTAAACTGTTTGTATACTGCAATTTTCTTGTTTTACTAAGTACACCCTTATGCAGTCAAAACATAAACAAACAAAATGTGAACATAGCAGACGAAACTCTTACAGATTACAGCTTTCTCAGTAGGTATCACGATACTAAATCAAAGAATTATTTGAAAAGACGATATCGATTTCATCACTGGATTCCCATGTTTATTGGGACACCCTGTAGATTTTTATTATTTTAGCGCTTTTTATGCTAAAATACAGCAAGGATATCTATTATATTATTGAGGATAAAAATACAGCAGGATATCTATTATATTATTGAGGATAAAAATACAGCAAGGATATCTAATATATTATTGAGGATACAAATACAGCAAGGATATCTATTATATTATTGAGGATAAAAATACAGCAAGGATATCTAATATATTATTGGGGATAAAAAGACAGCAAGGATATCTAATATATTATTAAGGATAAAAATACAGCAAGGATATCTATTATATTATTGAGGATAAAAATGCGGTAAAAACCACGACGACAGTCTCTTTAATACCATTCATTTTTTTCCCTTCACTTTTCGTTTTCTAAGCCGGGCCTTGAAACAATCTGTATTTAACCTTGATTATCATTCGTCATTTGACACTCTAATTTATCTAACATTTTCTCAACATTGTTTAAACTTACAATTGTTGTTTTCTCACCGTCTTTAATTCATACAGCACATATTATATATATATCTTCTGTCCTACCCTAATACTCTCCCATCCTACCCTCATAGTCTCCCATCCTACCCTTCAGTCTCACATCCTACTCTTCAGTCTACCATCCTACCCTTCAGTCTACCATCCTACCCTTCAGTCTTCCGTCCTATCCTTCATTCTTCCGTCCTACACTTTAATCTCCTGCCCTTCCCTCCAGTCTCCCATCCTACCCTTCAGTCTTCCGTCCTATCCTTAAGTCTTCCGTCCTACCTTTCAGTCTTCCGTCCTACACTTTATTCTCCTGCCCTTCCCTCCAGTGTCCTATCCTACCCTTCAGTCTTCCGTCCTACCCATCAGTCATCCATATTACCCTTCAGTCTTCCGTCCTACCCTTCAGTCTTCCGTCCTACACTTTAATCTTCTGCCCTTCCCTCCAGTCTCCCATCCTACCCTTCAGTCATCCATCCTACCCTCTAGTCTCCCATCCTACCCTTCAGTCTCCCATCCTACCCTTCAGTCTCCCATCCTACCCTTCAGTCTTCCGTCCTACACTTTAATCTCCTGCCCTTCCCTTCAGTCTCTCGTCCTACACTTAATCTCCTGCCCTTCCCTCCAGTCTCCCGTCCACTCTTCAGTCTCCCGTCCTTTTTCTAGTCTCCCGTCCTTTTTCTAGTCTTCCGTTCTACCCTCTACTCTCCCTTCCTACCCTTTAGTCTCCCGTCCTACACTATAGTCTCCTGCCCTTCCATCTAGTCTCCCGTCCTTTCTCTATTCTCTTATCTTAACCTCCAGCCTCACGTCCAACCATTTAGTCTCCCGTCCTTTCTCTATTCTCCCGTCTTACCCTCCAGTCTCCCTTCCTATCATCTAATCTTCAGTCCTAGCTACTAATCTCTGTTCCTTCCCTGTTAGCTCCCTTCCTCGCCTCTAATCTACCGTCCCACTCTGTAATCTCCCCATCATAGGTTTTATATGTCCGGTCCTTAAATTTAATCTTCCGTCCTATCCTCTAGTTTTCCGGCCTAGTGTCTTTAATCCCCGCCGACCTATCCTCCAATTTCCCGTCCTAGTCTCTAATCTCCCGTCCTACCTTTCAACTCTCGTCCTACCTTTAATGTCCCGTCCTACCTCTAACCTCCAGTACTAGTTTTAATTTCCCGTCCTACCTTTAATCTCCCGTCATAACTTTAATTTCTCGTCCTACCTAGGGTTTCCAAATTTTCGTTCAATCTCTTTCGCGAAAATTTCGTTCAGGCAATAAAAACGAAAACGAAAATTTCCCTTTATTTTAGCGAAATTTTTCGTTTTTTTTTTGCAAAATTCGCGAAATTCCTTTTTA